GAAGCAGATTTTTCATATTTTTCATGTCACTTTGATCATTTCAGGAGAGATCTGATAGGTTATAGAGAAGCAGAATTAGATTGCTTTGCTCCAATGTGTGCATACTGCACAGAATTTAGTCACCCAGGATTTAGAGTGTCTACAAGACACCCAGAGAGAAAATGAAGGGAACTGTTGATGAAACTTAGGAATTTAGCACTTGGAAAAATCTGGGTATAAATATAAGCTTAGTTGTAGAAGTCAAATCGCATAAATGAGAGGGACTTCTTAGACGAAAAAGTTCCAGAATCTCACAGATAATCAGACAATATAGATCCTGATCCCTCTCCCAAGAGGTTATGATTCAACAAGGCTTAGGTATTTTTCAAAAATGTATACTTCTTTTCAAAGCTTCCATCAAGAAATTTCCAGAATATTAATGAAAGAATTCATGGCAATATTTGCAGTATAGTGTTCATATATGTGAAAGTTTTATATGTATATATTTATAGAGATAAGGCAGGTTCATGAATGGCAAAAAATGATGAAGATTTTGAAAGTCATTGTGAGGAAAGGAAGATACAGAATGAAGGGACAAGGAAAACTAGACACCTGGGGCCCACATTGTGCTACTACAGGCTAAACTGCAGCACATACTTCGAATCTAGCTCCCTGCTAATCCACCTGAGAAGGCATTTGAAGATGGCCCGGAGACTTGGTCCCCTTCCACCCACATGGAAGATCAAAATGGAGTTCCTGGTTCCTGGGTTTTTATAAATATTCTATAGATGTATAAAAGATGATATATTCTGGATCAGTCCTGGCTGTTGTGGCTATTTGGGGAATGAACCAATGGACAGAAGAGCACTCTATTGCAAATAAAGAAGTAAATCTTTAAAAAGAAAAATAAAATTGGAATCAAAGCCCGTGATTTCAGAACTTTGTCCTTCTTGCTCAGAAACCTGCGTGCCGATGGAAGAGATTATGAACACAAGAATTGATAGAGTTTGTTGTGTTAGGGAAAACAAAGCACAATGTTAGGGTATAAAGGTTATAAAAATTTGCTACTATCTGACCCTAACCCCTGTCATTTCAATTTTGTGCTCCCTCCCTCATTCCTTTTCTTTTTTTTTTTTAAGGTTTATTTATATTTTTATTGGAAAGGAAGATATACAGAGAGAAAGCTCTACCATCCACTGGTTCATTCCATAAGTGGCTGCAACGGCTGGATCTGAGCTGATCCAAATGAAACCCAGAGCCAGGAGCTTCATCGGGGTTGCCCGTGCAGGTGCCGAGTTCGAAGACTTTGGGGCATATTCTACTCTTTCCCAGGCCACAAGCTGGGAGCTGGAAGGGAAGTGGAGCAGCCAGGACATGAACTGGCTCCCACATGGGATCCTGGCACATGCAAGGCAAGGATTTAGCTTGTAGGCTATTATGCTGGGCCCTCATTCCTGTTCTTAACCTCCAAATTCCTACTTCCTTTTTACAATCCACCTTTAACCTGGAATGCAAAGGATATCATTCCATCCTATTTTCTTGCCAGTAACCATTAGAAAATTAATGCAAGTCACAAAACTAACAAATGGTGAAACCAAGATTTGAGTACAAATCTATCTAAGTTTTGTTTTGTTGTTGTTTGTTTGTTTGCTTCATTTTAGCACTATCATAATTACTTGGTAGACGGGGAAGACGGGGAAGAAGGATTTGGTGCCCCAGCAACAAGCAGTGCTGTTAGCAGGAATCTCAGTGGCAGGACTGCAGCACTTGAGGCCACACCCTCTTCCCATCTGGGCAGTACGAACACCTGTCCTTTTCTACCCTACCCATGACCACTCTTTTTTTTTTGTTATTGTTAAATTCCTTTTGCTTTCATTTTTAAAACTATATTTGTTTCATTTTATTACACAGTGTCATAGGCTCTGGGATTCCCCCAAACCCTTCCCCCACATTGAATTCTTCCACATTGTTACAGTAGTATAGATCATAACCAGTCATGATATCGTCATTGTGGACATGGACCATGCAGAGAGTCCAGCATCTTATTGTCCAGATAAATTCAACAGTTTCATTGGGAAACCATTCCTGGTCTGAAAATAGGGCTGACAGAATATCATCCCCTCTAATGAAAAACCCCTACACAATTTCAACAACAATTTACAACATCATGAAGTTAATTGACATGGTATTAAGTGACCAGTATATTAGAAAATACAAGTTCTTAACCACATCCTGTAACTACTTCATTGACATCTCAATTATAGTTTATACACAGGTGACTGCTATACACTTTAAAATAATTATATGGTACTATTCAGCTATCTCATGTCTATTTTCATTTGTATATTTAGCAGCTTAAAGTATTCAAATGTAATTTCTACTGAACAATGTGGAATTTAGGATAGTCCAAACAGGTTTATACCTCAAACAAGCCATATGTTAACAACTGAGTTTTAGGAGGGATGTGCAGAGAAACCTTCAATACCTTAGTGAGGAGTAACTAATCTTTGTGTCTTACCTAGTTAGGTATATGGGAGTCCAAACTGACTGTTTCCTCTCTGTTTTAAGCTTTCCTTATGGGTCTCTGTTTATCTGATCTATTTTTTGTGGGGGGTTGGAGGGAATGTTCCAGAGCAACCCTGATGTCATTGCAAGAGAGGATGGGGAGCCCAAGTTGAAATTGAGTTAAGACCAAAGAAAGCTCCCCTCCCATGTTCTGAAGGAAGTTTACTGTTCTTTTGTTTCTGAGGACCACTTAGGGCTCCTGGCTGTTGTTCCGATGATATTAGATCCTGCGAAGATGGATCTGGGCTTCTTCCATCCCATGTACGAGATCTGATAGGTAATGGACGACCTCAGAGTTCTCAGCCTGTGAGGACACTCCAATTCCCCGTGGTCTCCTTGACAGATGGAATATAGTCCTTGGTGCCCATATTTGTAGTCCTTGGTGAGGATCTGGGAGTCTCCACAGTTGGGATATAAGCCTCCTCCTGTTCTTCTGCTCCACTCTGGGGTTTTCCCCCCGCCCCCGCTCTGCATATGACTTCCTGTTAAGGGACTGCAAATGACCACTCTTAAAGGACATTTTAGCCCCAGAATTCCTTGTGAATATGACTGTAAAATTCCTTGTGAATCTTCCTCCATCGTTTTTGTTTCTTTACTCCTCACTCTCACAGGTTTTTATTTATTTATTTATTTTAAATATTTATTTACTTTTATTGGAAAGTCAGATTTACAGAGAGAAGGAGAGATGGAAAGAAAGATTCTCCATCTGTTGGTTCACTCCCCAAGTGGCTACACTGGCCGGGCCAGAGCTGATCAGGAGCCAGGAGCTTCTTCCAGGTCTCCCACACAGGTTCAGGGTCCCATGGCTTTGGGCCATCCTCTACTGCCTCTCAGGCCATAAACAGGGAGCTGGATGGGAAGTGGAGCAGCCAGAATACAAATCGGCATCCATGTGGGATCTTAGCGCATACAAGGCAAGGACTTTAGCCACTAAGCTGCTGCAGCAGTCCAACTCCCACAAGTTTTGATCCCAAAGGCACAGTATGCGCTAAACTCTCAGTGTCCATTTCCCAAGGAAACCAATGTGTAATGGCTCTGCAAACAACAAAGGCCAGAGTTTTCCATGATAGAATTCGTATTACTTCTCACTCCCCCAAACGCCCTCTCAAGTATTTCATTGAGATGCTAGGTCCACATGACACTGGTATTAGCAGGACTAGGTCCAGTCATCTGGATGTCAGGTTAGCTGGAATTTAGCTAAGTAAAAAGGCCCTACATTTGGAATAGGGACATCTGTTTGCTTAAACTTTGCAGATTGTTTCTTCTCTTCCTGTAGTTCTCATGCAAGCAGAAAAGTCTAGCTGGCAAGTCTGAATCTAGGACCCCAGTTGTCAACTATCGGTACCAGACCACTGATGGAAATTTTCAGGTTCATGTGTGATATTCCATGACACTGCGCTTTTAGTGACTGAGCAGTAAAAGTATGACCTAGGCCAAAGCAAATGAATTTCAGTGCTTTTATTTCAGGTTCATTTTTCCACATATGTTTTCACAGATTAACAATCAAAGTATGTCAAGAAAAGAATCAAGTCATTCATCGGAAAAGCAATTTTTTTTGTTGGATTGTCAATATGATTAAACATTAGAGGTGCATTAACAGTTGAAAAAAAATCAGTTGCTATATATCTCAAATTTTATAAGCCTTCACACTTCACATTGTAACTATTCTGTTAAATCCATACAATCACCATATATCATTCAAGACATATTTTGTAATGATAGTTTCAAAGTTTGTGGTACTTTATTTTCAATTACATATCTTAAAGAACTTACTTCATTTGTATTAATTACCTAACTAGAAAAAGGATACATAGTAACATCATGATGGAAATTTCTAAGTATTTAGTAGGACGGGTAGGTAGAGTTTACATGTTAAGAATAAAATATATTTAATTTAATCAAAACCAATGTTGCCTTCTAATCTGGGTAATATACTTTTCAGTCAGTAGCAAATTCAAGCTAACTGATTGGTAATCACTTAGATCACTCTTAAGTATATAATCAGTTACATTAAATAAACTAAGTACTTTTAAACATTTTATAGACTCAGATACTTCTTAAAGTTTTCAGTTATTGAGTTTTAAATCTTTGTAGATAGAGGCTTCTCAGGAGGCCAAGGGTTTTACACGTTTTACACCCAGTTGGTCTTCTTCTTTGATAACCACCCATGGTTACTCTCTAGGCCTATCAATAAGCATTCATTGAGCACCTGCTGTGGAGCTGAGGCCTGTATGATGGTCTAGAAGCTACACTGTAAAAACAAAAGATTAAGGATGCCTGGAGAAGCTTACAGTCAAATCAGTGATTTTCATCATCTGGGTTTGTTTACTATTTATCAACAATAATGACAAAAATGTTTTTTTAGGAGTAGCATTGGTTTTGAGATCCCCTTTAAGCTAATCAGAAAAAACAAAACATCCGGTAACTAAGAAAAAGTCTAATATGGCACAATTTATGTAGATTATGCTAGGACAATCTCCAGAAGTTTGTATATCCTAAGATCAGATTTGCAGCATAAACTATTGCCACATATTATTAATTAATCCTACATTGTTATTTTCTAATCTTTCATGTTTTATGAGTAAAATGTCAAAACATTTTTGTGATTTCCTCTAACTAGTAAGACAGGAGGAAGGTTCTTTGTGAGGAATTCCAACCAAGCCATATACAACAAATCTGATATAGATCCTTTTCTTGCCACTGGAAGGCTCCTAATGGCAGAGAAGACAAACAAAAGAGAAAATGAGAATCACCACATGCAGTAACCTTCCTAGCACTTCTGAATTATTTAATAACCAGTGGCCTGAAACTTTCACACCTTTTTCTCCAAATAAAGGCACTGGAATAATTTTGAATATAGATATTTTCAATATATAGTTACAGAACGAACTACAGACCAGAAAAATAGACTTAGATATTACAAAAACAAAACACTGTTCCTCTAATTTTTAGGTAGAAATTATTTTTCCTAGTAGTTTAAAGCTCTTAGACTTAGGATAAACCTCAGAAGCCAGCTACCCAACCAAACAATCTACCAGATCATTTTGATATTATGTGGGTTGCAGGTGGGCATATGTCTTTGGCCATATGGGTATGGCATGACTGGCAGAAAGTCCACGCCAGCCCCTCTACAGCCCATGGGCTGAAATGTACAGGCATTGTCAGGCTCTCAGGGTAGTACTGATTTTCTTTTACTGTCTAAAATCTCACATATTCCTACAAAACATCTGTATACCCAGCTGAAGGATCATAGAATTTGAAAATTGGTCAACCCACTTGCACCTAAAGATTTCTCTGTACTATTACTAGACATTTGCAGGGATACTTACAGGACAATGAGATTGGCAGCTCTCGAGTGCTCCTGCAAGAGCTCATTCAGTCGGACTTGGCGGTAACTCTGTGGACAACATTCAGGGTTAGCTGAGTGCAGTTCTCCCCGGACTATGAATCAGAATTTATTTTCTTCAACTCACAAACAGTCAGACAGCCTCATTTAGGCTTGGAAGTTTTCAATGCTCTAAAGCCTCACAAGAAAATTTAGAGATATAAAAGAATGAGACCAGATTCTCATTGTGCTACAATGTCTTATTCAATTCTGGGGTAGGGTTGTGGGAGAAAGCAGTCTTGAATAACACCAAGGGTAGAAGTGAATGACTGGTTTTAGGGAACATACTTTTGGTTAAAGAAAATCTATCAAATCTTGATATGATAACTCATGAACATAGACCATATCCTAGGCTACCATTTCTGTAACTCTGTGTTTTGTCAGTACAATGGATTGGTTACAATTAAAAAAAAAAAAAAGCTATCAGAGCCTCACTTGGGAAAATAACCGTTTTGCAATGGTGAGACTAACATTTATTGTTACATTTCACTGGCTCAGAAAATGAGGCTCAGATGTGTGATTTGGTCAATTATATAAGTTTTTGTAAGAACTAAACAGCTTGTTTCACATGGAACTTGATTCTAGTTTGTAATTTTTTTAAAAACTAAATCTGAAAAAGCTTTTAGTATTGCTTAATCTTTCCAAGTTCACCTCCTCATAAAGTTTGTTTGGATTTTGTAGTTTACAAGTTCTTATGGTCCCTTGCCTTTAATGTGCAACTCAGGAGTCAGTACTGCCTAGTTTTCCATTCTTATTATCAGTAAATTCATTTGGCACAGGCTAGAAGAGTGTAACTTCGTCTTGCTGGGCTCTCTTGCTCACTATTTGAAATCCATCTTACAGTGTGCACCAGCAAATCCAACTTTCTTTGTTAGTTTTCATACCACCTTCATCAGGCTAGAATTCTTTATTATTGTGAATAAACTCAAGTGTGAGTCAGCCTACTTTTATATTACTCTGTGCACATACTGACTGAAATTGTTTTAGATTGATGGATTTGTCATCTATTTTTAAAAATTAAATCTGAAAGATTTAACAATATGTACTTTAAAAATAATTTCATCTTTGGAGAACAAAATGAATATTGTTTTCTAAATCTCCATATCCAGTAATGTGATTGAAAAGCACTTGAAAATTATGGGAACCCTGGATCTTGAATAATGCAATTCAATAATAGTTACATTACTTCTTAATCTTTAAATCAAGAACTAGTTAGATAGCAAAGTAAAAAAAATTAAGGAAGACAAATCCTTACCTTTTCCTTCACTGCTTCCAATTCTGCATCTGTAATTTTCCATGGAGTTTCTCTTTTTAATTTCTCAGCAGTTGTTAAATCTTTGCAGCTTTCATGGAGACGATATGGTTCAATCATCTCTTCAAAGAGTTTCCAGCTGAAATTGGAATTATAAAAGAGGCCTCACTGTGGGAAACTAACTTATTATTTCATGGATAGTGCAGGTATGACTGGCTCTGTTGGTTTGGAATCAGAGCTGAATGTCATGCAAACCTTTTAAGAATTATCTGTGCAGGGCACTTACTGTGAGAAAAACTGTGGCCATAGAACTGCTTCTCCAAGGAAAAGCTTTAATGTATTTGAGGCATTATTAGCCTAAATATTAGATCTTCAATATTAAGGCACAAACACATAGTTAGTAATTGTTCAGCAAATATATATTCTGCACAGTGTAATCAAAGACAGTTTAACCCATAAGTGAATTTCCATCACCATATTAAACAGTTTCTTTAAGAACCATTTGTAAATGAATGTAGATGAACTAGGCTTCTTGGAGGTTGGATAGGACAACTCATGGCATCCCCCACTCTTGGCTGGAAGCTGAGGGCAGGCAGCAGGAGCATAGCAGTGGCTTCCACCGTCTTTATGGTTCTCAGCAATTTGGATGTTTACTGCAAACTACAATGTTCTTAACCTTCTGGTGTTTGAAGTTGCTGCCTGAGAGTTTAAGATGAGCATTATTCAAGTCAATTATAAGGAAAGAAAAAAATTTAGTAATATTTTAATGGCCAAAAATCTGGGACATGGAGGAGGAAGCTAAAGTAAGTATCAAAATGCTAGATCATTTTAATACTTGCTGAAAATTTTCCATTTCTGTCTTATATAATACTCCCATAAGGTTTACTTAAAAAATAGCATAAAGGAAAGCTTATAATCTATGACAGTTGTTATCTTCAACTGCTACTTTAAGGGCATCTGTAGTATAAACATATTCTTTGTTTTTTAATAATGTGCCTTACTCATGATTTAATAACTTTGGAAAGAGTGATCATTAGAACCCATATGCTCTTAGGCTGATAAATTAAAATATGATGCAGTGAGTTCAATTATCTCAACAGCTGGCCTGATTTAAGACTTATAGACAAGAAAAAGTATGGAGATTACAAATGAGTAGAGTTGTCCTTAGTAGTGAGCCTTTGTTAGGGGATTGAAGAGACATTTAATACAGTAGACTTCTGTTGTATTGCTTTATTTAGAAAGAGCTGAAGACAGGAAGAAAATCAGACTGATGTACTTTATTATTTTTGGAACCATTCAATACTCTATTTGCTATTACCTTGAACGGTGGTTAGTCAAGTAGAAGAGTGCTGGCCTTGGAGAGTAGAGCCGTGTTCTTACTCTACCTTTCCCATTTCGCAACTTGGCCTGGATAACCTCACCTATGGAGGAGGAGTGACCAAGGCTGTTGGGAGCTATGGGAAAGTCAGGGTGTAATGACAAAAGGCTGTCATAATGACAGAAGGGTGTAATGTTCCAAAAGGTGCTGAACAGCCAAATAATGGAGGTTAGTATTGGTAGGCTCAGTGTTTAAGCTCTACATATATGTATTTCAATTGGGATGAATTTGCATCTCAGCAGAGATCCCTGTTAGAAAACAGTACAGAAATAATTTACTAAGAAACAAAAGAGGGATGAAAGTTTCTGGTTATCTCCTCAGCAACCACATTATGTATTTACCATTGTCATTTGAATGCTGTGTCTGCCAAAAGGCATGGCCAGATGGGTCCATAATTCAGGCAGACTTGAACTGATTGGCACCCAGTGTTACCTTGACCTCAGTGAATGGCTGAGGCCTTAGGTGAGTTTTGCCTTAGCAGAATCCAGGACCTGAGTTATTGGGGAAGAAATGAATTTTTTCTCCTACTGAACAGACATGAGCAACTTTGTAGTTCTGGTTGCTGTTGGTAGCTGTCTTGCTTTTCTAAGTGAAATCAGCTTCCATGGATTATTTCATAATGAAATATAGAATAGGAAAATTGAAAACTAATTCTTGGTAGTAAACTTAACCTTTTAGATCAAATTTAGTCTAAAAACCAATTTATAATTGTATTTTTAGTTAAATACAATTTAGTCAATTTCCCATCATGTGTGTCACTATGCCTTAGTTGTTGTTATATTTGCACGATAATGGATACAGTAGGTTATAATAAGGCTGCCTTTGTCTGTTCTTTTTCTTTGCGCTCTTACTTCTCCTTGTCTATGTTTAGCGTTGATTTCTTCAGCACAGAGCTCAGCCTTGAGCTGGCTGTTTTCCAGCCTTCTAACCAGGTGATCCTAAGATGAATTAAAATTTCTATTTTGAGTCTTATTAGAGATGAGCTTTCTCATAAATACGTTTATGCTTTTTTAGAATAATTCAAACAGTATAGGATATTAAATACAAATGAAAATTCAGTGTTAAAGATAAATAGCTTCCCTGCTTTTGCCATCTTTGTTTCTTACAAGAAAGTTTTCAAATTTTTAAAACATAAACACTTTGCTCCAGTCCACTGAGATTTCTTCCTTCAAAATAATGTGCTAGAGTTGTTTTTGTGTTTACTGCAGCATCTTTGAACTAAATCACATAGTTAATTACTTCTAGTTCCTCTTTGATTTTCACATAAAGATTGTTGTCTTTTTGGCCTATGACTTTCAATTCAGTTTATACAATAAAAAGCAGAATTTAACCACAAGAGCTTTTTAGTTTCTCCTAGTTCAATTATTTTCTCATTAGCTTTGCTTTTGTATTCCCTTTCACCCCACCCTACCAAATTTATAGATAATGTTTCTGTGACAAAATGCCTCCATCAAGCTTTGCTGATATTTTATGAGTTGTTGAAAGATTTCCTAAAGTCAACTTAAGGGCACTTAACATTAGTCTCCAACATGGAAATCATTGACAAATCCACATGCATTTCCTCTGGAGACCAAGAAGGACTAGTGACCAGTGGATTGTTTTTAATGATCATTAAGGGATGTCAAGTAATGAAAGGACACGTGAGAGCTGAAACAGAGCCAGTGGTTACTCTCTAAACGACAGTCCCCATGGTCTGACCTGCATTCGCCCAAACAACACCCAGAAAAATTTCCTTTTTAAAATGATTGAAAATATGCCAGATATACAATCAGTGGTCACAGAGGAGATATTCGTTGTTCTAAAATAAATTTGCTTTTCTTCATAGGAATAGCCATTGCCAACAATAGTCACTGCAGTAGTCACTGCAAACATCAGTTGTGTGATGTTTCATTAAACGCTATGGCGTCGGTTAAGCAGAAGGCTGAGAGTACAGGCTAGGTCCTCCAGCACACGGGGGACTTCTTTTCCTTGCACTGGGGGGACATTAGTTGCAAGCATTCTCTTATTTCAATAAGGATTTTTCCCTTCTGCACTTTCCTCAAGAGCTTGAAATGGTCGAGAGAATATTTCTTCAAAATGTTGACAGTAAATTCATTTACTTCTTGAGGAAGGGAATTATTTTCATGACAGGACTATGAGGATATATGAGATTTAAAGATAGAAAAAAGAGGGGGGGAAAGCTCATTATGACTGTTACCCTAAGGGTGGGAGAGGCTTAGTTAACAGAAAAGAAGTTAACCTCAACATCTTCAGTAATAAATGGGAGAGAACAAAGGGATCTTAAGGTGGTGACCATGGCAGTTGAGCAGAAACTAGTAAGAAAGAGAGGAAAGGAAACAATGACTTGAGTAGAGAAAATTAAATTGGTAGGTTAAGAAATAAAGGAATATAGGAACAACAAAATTATCAGCACGCAGAGATAGTCCTTTCTTATTGATCAGGAAAACAGTATGAAGCATTTTCCTGGAAGAAGAGTATGGCCAATTTGTGCTCTGTCTTATAAATTCCAAAGCCAGTAAGAATCACAATGACTAACCTCTAGACATCAGAGAATAGCCCCCTTCTGCTGAGTATTGGTATGCTTGGCCCTGTTGCTAAGTGGAACATGCTAAGGTTACATCACTGCAAATGCCAAGAGACAATGATTTCAGAAATTAGAACTCGGCTAATGAAAAGTGGAAGTCTCCTAGAGATGACTAAATGACAACCTAGTTCATAGCAGGATGTTAATTCCATTTATCAAGAAGATTTATACATGTGCTCTTAATTTTTAAAGTATTTGTAATTATACAACCAGAAGAATTTAATGTATTACAAGTTTAGATGAAAGAAGAAAGTATCTCAAAGTAAGAACCAGGTTAACCCTGTCAATTATGGCTTTCTTGCCACAGTGGAGACGTTTCCTAAACCCATTAAATGAACCATAACCTTACAGGAATGAGCACCTTAAAGGATATGAAGTCATGGTTTGTCTAGCCAATAAGAATGTATCTTAAATCTGAGTGATTTCAAAAAGCCCCTAATTTGATATACGATAATAATAAATACAAAACCAGCTGGCACTGTGGTATATCAGGCTGATTCTCCACCTTCAAGCAGTGGCATCCCATATGCACACTAGTTTGTGTCTCAGTTGCTCTACTTCTGAGCCAGCTCCCTGCTTACCGCCTGGAAAAGCAGTAAAGAAGGACTCAAGTCTTGGGCCCCTGTGCCCACATGGGAGATATGAAGAGGCTCTTGTCTCTGGAGCAGCTCAGCTCTAGCTGTTGTGGCTATCTGGAGAGTGAACTAGTGCATGGAAGACCTCTCTTGTCTCTTCTTCTCTCTCTGAAAAAACCTGCCTTATTAATAAAAACAAATAGATGAATCTTTAAATAAAAACAGTAAGTTGTTTGTGAGTTTTACAATTACACAGGCTTTCCAATCTTCTTGCACTTTTGGGATTTCCAATGAAAATCAACACTATAAATATGTTTGAAATATCATTGTTGTAGACTGAGTTTTTGCATCCTCACCAATTTCATATGTTGAAGTGTTAACCTCCATTTAATGATATTTGAAAATGCAGCCTTTGGATGTAATCAAGTTTAGATAAGGTGGTGAGGTTGGGGCCCATAACGGGATTAATGCCTTAAGATAAAGAATAAGGGACCTTTCCTTCAGCAGTGGGGAAAACCGCCAGATGCAAACCAGGGAACTGGCCCTCTACAGGACTGAATCAGCCAGCACTTTTACCTTGTACTTCCTACTCTTCAGAGCTTAAACAAACATCTGCTCTTTAGGCCATGTAGCTTACGGTATTTTTTTTTTTTCTATCAGAATGAGCTGATGGAGATGATTCTAAGTTGATAACAAATGAGGGCTAAAATGAAGTCATATTCTGAAGGTATTTTGTTTACTTAAACTTTTTTTTTCCAAAGAAAATATTTAATAGTGGAGTGAGGGGAGAAACCTAAAGAGAAAGTGAGAATTCCCATCTGTTGGTGAGAGAGCTTGGGACTAAGAGCAGGCCAGCTAATGGCATCCCACAGCTGCTTGCTGCTCCTCCTTCGCAGCATGTAAACTCTAAACAAGGCAAGGTGGCAGGCCCTGTAACAAACACTGATCACTGATGACCAGATCTAGGTTTTGATAAAAACAAGCTGGAAGGGGTTCCATTACAACTGTCCCCAGCCTTGTCAGTAACTAATGTATAACCACTACTATTGTTCCTTGGAGGCAAAGTGGTAAAGACATAAAAGCCCCTACCTAGACTGCAAGTCTCAGCAGCTTCAGTCTCTTTTCAGCAGCCCTTCCAATCTTATCTGGAGCTTCTCTTTCTCTTACCTAAAGTTTCACTTTCTCTACTCTCACAGGTTTGTCTGGTCTTTCGAATCTTCATCGACACCAGGACACAAACTCAAACTCATCTTACCAGATCTAGAACACTAGTTCATTATCTAAATGCTCACAGTCATCTGGGGGCTAAAGCTAAGAGCTGAGGCTGGGAACCGGAACCCAATTCAGGTTTCTTTCTGGTATGTCAGGGAACCAGCTACTTAAGTCATTAGATGCTGCCTCTGATGCCTCTTATCAGGAGTGTGGAGAAACAGCTAGGACTTGAACCCACACACTTTAAAATGGGATGTGGGTATTCTAATCAGTGGTTTAACCACTAGGACAAATACTTTCCCGCCCCCCCCCCATTTTTTTGAAGATATTTAAAATTTTGTTTGTATGCATCAACGGCAGAGATATACAGAGAAAAATACAGAGATTCACAGAGATCTTTGATCTGCTGACTTAGTGTTCAAGTACCTACAAAAGCCCGGGCTGGTCCAGGTTAATCTAGGAACCCAAAACAAAATTCAAGTCTCCTGTGCCTCCCCTGTGGATGGCAGGGCTTGAAGTACTGGATCCTTCACCTGTTGCTTCCTAGGGTGTGCACTGGCAAGAATCTGGAATCAGAAGCAGAGCTGGGACTCTAACCCAGGCACTCTGATATGGGATGTGGGTATCCCAAGGAGCAAATGAACCAGCTGAATAAATGAACCAAGTATCTGCTGGTTGAGGATACTTAAGTGGTTACTTCAACTATGCCATTTTCTTTCAAAGCCAATACATTTCTTATTTTTAGAGATCCTCTCCCCCAAAGTTCATAGGCCTTAAGCACTTGAACCCTTTTGTGGCTTATAGCTAAAATGGACCTGGAGGGTTGGTACTGTCATTGTACCAAGAAAACACAAGCTTATTTCCACTTCTTCTGTGTCAGCACTCCCCATCCAAAATGTCCCAGTAGTACCTCAAATAAGAAACTAACCTTGAATGCTCAGGCCAGAATAATCTAACTTTGGGCTTCGTGCTATTCTTGCTAACTGAGGGATCAAGAACAGCAAGAAGAATTCTAATGTGTAAGAACACCAGTCTGAGTTTCAAGAACTGTCTCTGTCAAGCTCAACTTTATCATAAAGCCTTCCCTTCCCTTTGGAAAGTACTTGATAGTTCTTTGTCATTATGTGAAGATCATCATTAAATTCTATCAGGAAATTACTGCACTAAACATGTGACATTTTCATTCTTTGATAATCAACATAAAAGAGAATGAGGGATAACTTTAGGGAATCAACAGATCTTGTTAAGCATTTCATACCTTTCCTTGTTGGGTTTAATGTTGATATCACCAATGATATGGATGTCTGCAAATTTTATCCTAAATTTGCTCAAAAGAGAAGCCATCCTGAAAATGGAAAAGAAAAACACTTCATCATTGTGTATTTAACTATTTTCAATCAAATATGTTTTGTGTTTGAGTTAATATATCAAAGAAAATCATGTCTTATTTTAGCTTAGTTGTCAGTCAGGCTTTATGGTTAATGCTAGATTTTCATTATTGTACTTTGTTGGATTCATTAAATGTAGTTCAAGTTATTCCACTGAAAGCATAAACTCTTATAAGTACAGACAGTGGAAACATCAACTGTTACTCTGCATTCATGTGCCAGGAAAGATGATGCAAAACTCACCATACTCCTTTATTACTTAAAGATAGCAAATCTTAATATTTATTGACTACTTTGTTACTGATAATTTTTGTAGCCACAGATAAATTACTGACAAGCTAGTAATTATCATATGTTACATGGTTATATGTTGGAGGTCTTTGTCCTGACAACTCATAATTTTGATATAATTTCAATTTTATGGAAATGCTGCAAGCATAGTGTGAATAACTCCCAAAGTCACCAGTTGTTTTTTATTTTGCCCCATTTGATTTGTCATTATCTTTGTTTCTCTCTTTATCTGCTGATTTTCTTCTGTTTTACAGTATCTTACAAATATCAGGCCCCTTAAATATTTGGATGAATGCTTCCTAATGACAAGGATACTCTCTTATAACCATAGAGTACAATTTTAGCAATTAAAACATTTGACATTTACTTCATGCTATCAGCTAATCTACAAACTATCTTAAAATTTTATCAATTGTCTGCACAAGATAGTAAAGGCTTTAAGAAACAAACATTACTATAAACATATTAAATTCAATTTCACCATGACTCTTTATGAAAAATTAAATACATATAATATGTATGGATATTATATTGCTGCAAGTAAAAATAAATTCACAAACTCATTAATGTATTAATATAATGAATATACATTGATACACAACTATAACCTTCTGAGAAAGAGGATAAAATATAAAAAAATTAATAAAATTCTATCATTGTTTTGTGATTTCTGGATATCACAGGACTCAGGACTCCAATATGCCACAAATGATTACAGATGATTCTCAGGTTTCCTTCAGAGATCCCTGGATATATCATATTCCGGGCAGGCTTATTCTTTAATTCACATATTAGTTTTCAATGGCAGATGAATGAAACAGACTTGCAATTAAGAGTGCCTTAAAAAAGTATTAGAAGAGTTCTCAAAAGGCATCCATCTAAACTTTTCCAAACTGCACACAAGCAACTGGAGGCCAGATGTACATGCTGACTGCTGTGGACTCTTGCGATCCTTTGGGGACTAGGCTGGTGTGAAGACTCCAGTGCAGTCTCTCCCATCTAGTTCTTTGCTGTTCTAAAAGGGACTACCATGAATTAGCAGGCATAGATCCCACAAATACCAGAACACTAATTTGTTCATATTCTTTGTTTCTTAGATGTGATTACTCAGAGCAAACAGTCAGTATACAAGATAGTGACACTCAGCTCTCTTTTTGAAAGCATTGTGGCAGAAAAGATGAGGACTTGAAGGCAGTGATTAGAAAAATCATGCAAATATTTTATTGACCAGAAAACCATGTAAACGTGTGGCTATCTTGGTGGCTTTGTCTTTCCATCTAGTGTGCCTCAAAGATAACCAAATTTCTTAGAAATTAAAGCTTTAATGCAAGCAACATCTGAAATGACTTAACATAGAAAGCTACTTACGCAATTTTTTCTTCTTCAATGCGGTTTATCTTCCCCCCAACATAAATTCTTAGTTTACAGTCTTTCCATTTTTTTCTGAGAGTCAAGATATAGGGGATAAGGAGTGTTAATCCTGTAATAAAGAATAAATTATGACAGAAAGCATGAGTAAACCTAACTATAAAACTTTGAATAGCTATGTATCTCTATTCATTCTCACACCATGACTCTTAAAAATTTATAAGCTGTAAGAACATAGAAATATTATTATCTAACTGGCATTGTTTTCATATACCATGCATTGTAGTTTGTTAGATTTATCAGAATAGAAGCTCTACTCCCTAAGGTATATGCTGCAAGGTTTACCTCCATCATCAAACAACCACCAAACATCAATTGTGCCTTTTCCTTGTTTCTTTTTAAATTGAGTGCTGGCTTCCACCAGTTTCTGGTTGAATTCTCCCACATGCATCGACTGGATTGTGTTGATGCTGCTGTCTGAAAGGAAAAAGAAAGTGATGCATCTATTTGTCCTTTGAGGATAGAAACAGGATAACTTTCCGATAAATCCATTGATGAAAATAAAGAATGAGTCATGAGTTCATGTATTTTGTATCTGTAAAGTTAAAGGAAAAATCTCAGAATAATTTAGATAACCTTAAATAATTAAAAGAGAAATTTGATAATGATTTCCTGGTTATAGCTTTTATTAAAGCAGCATATTTTTTTCAGATCCTTAGTATTCTGTCCTAAAACTATTATTTTGACATAAGAGAATGTTAATAAGCTAACACAAAAGCCACAATATCCCTGTTTTCCCAAATCTAAGCTGTAATTCAACTAAGTATTTTCAATTTTACTTGCAGAAGTTATAGTGATTGGTTTTCTACAAATACACAATGAAGTCTGACATGTTTTTAGAAATATATTCTATGTGGGCCCGGCGCGGTGGCGCAAGTGGTTAAGGTCCTCGCCTTGCACTCCCGGGATCCCATATGGGCGCCAGTTCTATCCCGGCAGCCCCGCTTCCCTTCCAGCTCCCTGCCTGTGGCCCAGGAAAGCAGTGGAGGACGGCCCAGGGCTTTGGGACCCTGCACCCACAGGGGAGACCCGGAAGAGGCTCCTGGCTTCGGATTGGCATAGTATCGACCGTTGTGCTCACTTGGGGAGTGAATCATTGGACAGACGGAAGATCTTCCTCTCTGTCTCTCCTCTTTGTATATCCACCTTTCCAATAAAAAAAATAATAATAAAAATAAATCTTTAAAAAAATATATATATGTATTCTATGTATCTGAAGAGTGGCAGAGAGGGAGAAATAGAAAGAGATCTTTCATCCGTTTGTTCACTTCCCAAATGGCGGGAACAGGTACTGGTGCTCTCTTCCACTGCTTTCCCAGGAACATTAACAGGGAGCCTCAGCCTAGCCCAGCCGTGGCTGTTACAGACATTTGGAGAGCTAAGTCTGTGGACTAAGTCTAAGTCTGTGGACTAAGTCTGTGTATCTATATGTGTGTCTCTGTCTCTTTCATGTCTGTCTCTGTCTCTTTAATTTTATGTCTCTCTAATTTTCATCTGAATAACTATTTAAAAAAAGAAAAAAAAACCAGAAAACATGGAAAGAAAACTGTCCTTATTTCAGGTAGAAGTGCATATAGAATACTGCAAAATATTTAATGCAATTTCCAGTTTAACATGAGCACAAGGAAGTGTACCAGGAACTGGGCCAGGGTCTGAGGAGAGCCCTTGCCACTATATATATATATATATATAACACTATATATATATAGCATTCCTCATTTCGATGCCTTTGGAACTTGCGACTTCATTGCTCTGTTACAAAGATGTGGTATCAGTGTGGTGCTCAGAATAAAGCTGACAGCCTCTTCAGAGCTTCCTGTCTGATCTATGAGGTTCTGAAGACACTTTGTTCTCTGTTGCTGTTGCCATGTTTTGGGCCTGTCAGTTTGAAGCAATTATCCTGTATTGTTTTTCTATTGCACGGACTGCTGAGAGTGAAAATAAATTTATTTGCAATATGGGCCAAACTCTGCCTTCCCTTCCATGCACATCACAAAGCATCCCAGGACTCTGATGAGTGCCTTAGAGGCAGAGCTGTTCTTGATCTAGAACTCAAAAGAGCTGTCAAACCAGAGCACTGAATGGGCCTGCTTTAGAGCCGCGTGTGAACTCTTAGATATTGAAAATAGTGCATAATATGGTTTTCCTGTTCTCAACAATGAGACATGCTGAATTTCAGAAGAGTACATTTTTGCCCAAACAAGTACTGTGATGCACAAACAAAGCTTCCAGAATAAACAACAAATACTGCTTTCATTAGTGAGGATGTGAATTATTTCCTTTCTCCATTTCATAAAGAAGAGCACTGGGGTATGCGTTGTCTTTTCAGATTGTACCACTTAAGCAAAAAATCAGAATGGAAGGGAGGTAGTAGTTAGTATCCTGAACAGTCTTATGCTTGCTTCATCTTTAGATTCAGACATATCATTTTTCAAGAAAATGTCATTTTAAAATGACTAGTAAAGACTCAGTTCTGAAATGGGGAGATATAGGTATTTCTCGTCAATCTTTGTAAATATATGCGTTATTAAGTTATAGGTGAAATTTTGTCCTTGAGCTATTGAAGAACAAGCAAACGGAGCCAGTCCAGTTGCAGGGTAGGAGAGGGCCTCTTTGAAGGGTTAACCACCCTCAATGCAACCTGGAAGACTGTTTAAGACCTGCTTGGACCCTGCTGTTCGACTTGGAGACTTCAGAGAAGTTCTCTTCCCTTAGTCTCAGAGTATGACTCTAACAGCAGGATATTTGTTCACGTTCTGGTTTTCTACCAGCAGAGGTCACTGTGGATTTCATAAAACTCAAGTTGCATTATTTTGGAAAGCAAGCTATTAAAGAGAAACAAAAGTAGATATTTGAGTCACCTGTTTATAAAACCCACAGCAAGCTCTCCCAACCTTTGGCTCTGTCTTTGTAATATATGCTAGATACTCAGAGATAAATGTACCACTCCAGCGCAATCTGTAAGGAGGTTAGTATTAGTGAAATTCTAATTCCAGCATTTTGATATACGATGATAAACATGCCTTTCTGGAACTGGGATTAAATTTGAACCCACTATTTATGTGTGAGTCAATTTTAAGTCCCTTGAATGTCCACAAAGTAAGAAAGGTTGTGAATAAAAATGTCTAGGTATTGGTTCTTGAATTTTTATCCCCTCTGTGTTTTAACTAAGAAATGTCTATTTTATGGCAAGTAGTCTAAGCACTATGTGATTCCCAAACCAAATAAAATGATTTTAGAATAAAGTTTTATGATAAGATAGCATAAAAGTACTTTAAAATATGGATAAATGTCAGTGGTGTTTATTTCTTATTCACATCACCTATTTGAAATAAATCTTTCAGTCCCTCCCTACCCTGAATGCCCTTACTGTCTTAGACACTGATTTGTGAGCCTTTACAGATGTTCAGGTCGCGCCTTGTCTCGTATTCTCTCTTGTAACTTTGCAGAAGGACGTACCTCTCTTAGGAGCTGGTTTAGGGATGTTCAGCTTGCCAACTTTCTTAAACAAGCCCCGGATGCCTCCAGCACCTTCTTCACCCTCATTGTCTTTGATAGTGGCCTCCAAGGCCAGCCTCTCCTGTTCCAGTTTCTCTAGTTCATCTGATGGAAGAAGACAGAATCATGTACTTCATTCTGATGAACAAATGCCTAGGAACAATCTTAGAAATTCTTTCAGTGCTTAAAATTATATGGAGATTATGCATAATGTGATTTTTTTTTCAGAATGATTATTCAGAAGTAATATATTTTAGTGAATTATATTCAGAAAGTCGTTATATCTGGTTAAGAAAAGCAGTCTAACATGTTAAGTTTCAGTACATGAAATCATTCCTTGTGTGGCTGGTGTTGTGGTATAGTCAAAGAAATATTCTAAACTAAGGTTTCTGTGTGCCAATCCAAGTTCAACTTGCTAAAAAAAAAAAAAAAAAAGAAGTTCCACAACATTCAAGTATGGGACAAGAGCTAAACTGTGCAACCTTTGGTGCCCAAGATTCAGACCCACTATCAAGCTTTGATGTTGTGTCTGTTTGCTTTTATACCTTTTCTTGATTCTGATTTTAACAAAAAGTTTTCTACCTTCTATCTAATGCATGAATCTTTCTTTGGCCTCAGCTTATATTGGATCAAGGTATGTATTTTTTTTCTTTAGATTTACTTTATTTATCTGGAAGGCAGAGTTATAGAAAGAATAAAGAGATAGAGAGAGAGGGAGAGAGAGAGAGAGCGAGAGCACGCTTCTATCCACTGGTTCACTCCTTGGTTGGGCTAGGCTAAAGCCAGAATCCAGGAACTCCCATCTGGATCTCTCATATGGGTGCAGGGGCCCAAGCCCTTGGTCCATCTTCTGCTAATTTCCTATGTGCATTAACAAGGAGCTGATCAGAAGTTGAAGCATTTGGGACTTGAACCACTGCTGGCACTGCAAGCAGCAGCTCAGCTTGCTGTGCTACAGCATCAGCTTCAAAGCAAATACATTTTAAAAACAGTCCTATAACAGTGCTGCACTGATAGCCCTTTTTGCTTCCACGGGCAAGGTGGCACACTATGGCCTGCCAACAACAGTGCCTTGGAAAACAAGCAATGCTTAGAGAACAAGGGGAGAAAATGTGTTGTAAAACATTGTTGGGGCTTCTGTAAATGTCAGCCCTGGGAGCCTACTGCCTTTATCCATGAAGCTATACAAATTCAAGATTTATCAATTATGTACTAACCAAGTGTGTCAAGACACTCACATTCTTAGATGATGCTCTTATTCAACTCCATGGATTCTCTGGCCCCTTTCCAGGTCTTAGCAATTAATCTTTGGCCAGTGGCATGAGATTTAAGGTCAAATCGCCCATGTGATTTTCTGCAAAGCTTCAAAAGGTCCTCAAGATCAGCAGCTGTAGAAAATCTAAGAAATTAGACTGATGGGATTAAAGCTGAGCCAGGAGTTGCTCACCCCTAACATTGGAAAGGTAGACAGGCTAGATTGCTCTGGGGACCACAAACCATTTTACTTCTGCTGCTGGTTTTCAGCGACACTAGAGGTGTCTCATTTACTTTTTCTGTGCCTCAGATTTTCTGTCTGTGAAATGGAAAATTGTACTCTTCTCCCTTTCCTATTCTCTTACCTTTATAGAAAAAATAGGCAACAATTTCCACATCGCACTTGGAATGTCTTAAAGAACAGAACAACAACTGCATCCTCTAAGAGGTGAATTTATGCTGCTTCTGGGAATGGGCCTAGCCATGCCAAGGAAATTGAGTATCTTGAGAAACCAGGAAATGATTTTAGCAGTTTTTATTTATCTTCTACTTTTCAGGTGTTGAGGACTGTGCTATATTTTATTCCTCCCAAGCAACTCTGAGATGGATATTATTAAAAACAAAACAAAACAAAACTGAGCCTCAACAGTTAACTAACTGGAGTTAGCGTTGCAGGTTAACACACTTTGAATGCAAGGATATCTGCTTGATTCTCAATCCTGTGTGTTTCCCATGAGGAAGACTTTGTTTCTGATTAAAATTATTTCAGCATTGGTTTACTAAATTGCAGCTGTTCAGCGTCATGTAAACCTAAGCACTGTCAGTGCATGATGTCACGCCAAGTAATCCCCCAAAGTGATGACCCTTGTACGTGCTATTTTACTATTTTTTTTCAAATCTATTTGAAAAGCAGAGAGACATAGAAACATGTCATTGTAAAACAAGGATCCTAAAGATATAGAAAGATGAGGCAGGCTGTTCTATAGAGACAGCATGGGTAGCTACACCTTCTTGTCTGCATTGGGTTACAATACCATAGCTGTTAGTCAGCCTTCAGGGTGTTGAAGGAGCCAGGTGCATTCTGCCTCCCCCCGCCCCCCTGAACTTCTTTGGGATAACTACCAGGGTTACCCTGGGGAGAGGGTTCTTCTCATTTCATTTTTCTTGGCAGGCACCCGCATACCCTGTGATTAGCCACTAATTGCCATGCTCTTTGTCCTTTAGTTTGGACAAAGGCAGAAAAAAGATAAATCCTCTTTTGTAGGGGAGTCAGCTGGTTGAGCAAGCTGGGAGCTGCTCCAACAATTTGCTTACAGGTCTGTGCACAGCCCTTCCAGGGCAGAGCAAACTGTAAAGTCCCAGGCTTGAGAGACAAAACCAAATTTTGCTTGAATGATTCAGATTTAGCTGCTCCCTCAAATACCGTACAGAGGTTGGCAGCGTCTGCTCTAAAGGCCAAGTCTGTTTGCTTTGCCATCTTGGATTTTCAGGTCCACACAGTGGTGTGATCTTCATTTGTACAGCGATTCTGTAAGTTCTTATTAGAGGTAATTCTTAATTATTGACTTTACAGGTAATTAAGGCCTTCTTCCATGCACTCCCTTTTCTTCAAATTTCAGGGTTAAGTAGCAGTGATGCTTTGATTATCTGCAAGTCAGAATGATCTGTCTGGCATTCCGCTTGCCTCTACTTGCTTGGGAAATTAGAAATAGATTTTGTTGGGGGTGGGCATTTGGCTTAAACCACCAGCATGCCACATGGGTGTGCTTGAGTCTGACACCTGGCTTCTCTCCGGGCTCCAGGTGCTTGCTCATGCAGATGCTGGGAGGCAGCAGTGATGGCTCAAGTGATAGGGTTCCTGCCATCCATATGGGAGTCCTGGTTTGAGTTTTCATTGTGGCTTTGGCCCCAGCGAGGGGCTGTTTCAAGCATATGGGGTGTGAGCTAGCAGATGGGAGCACTCTCTCTATTTGTATCTGCTTCTCAAATAAATTAAAGGAGAAAAATCTTCACAAAGACTGTCAAACACTACTTTCAACAAGGATACTGGCCAGCTGGCTTGGAAAAGTCTGCTAGTAGTACACAAAGGGGTCGAAGCCAAGGGAGTATCTGAGGGAGTATGAACAGATTCAAATTGATTTCCATGAGGCTAGCAGTAAAAATCACTCATTCTACCACAATTGCAACCATTATCATTATTATATTTTGCATCTTTTTAATACGAGGGGCAGAGAGCAAGCATGCATTTCTCTCTGCTGGTTTGCTCCCACAAATATCTACAACAGCCTGGAAGGCTAGCCAGTTGCTAGAAATACAAACCCTATCAGTTGAGCTGCCACTATCACTGCCTCCCAAGATCAGCATTAGTAGGAAGCTGCAGTAAGGAGTCAGAGGTAGGACTTGGAGCCAGGTGCAGGGGGCTCTAACTGGTGGCTTAACCGCTGGACCAGATGCCCACTTCCATTACTACATTTTTCATGTTCAGCAATTGCAAAGCCCTTTTCACACAGTAACTCATATGGAACTAAGTGCAGATAGGACTGCTGCCCGCTATCCTACTCCCCGTTTATTAGTGAGATTAGGAAATAACGTGATGAGTTCATGGTTTCACAGTTAGTGATCCTGGTCTCCTGCTTCCATAACTAATATTTACACATCTCTGTTCTTTCTTGACATATCCCAAGTGTAACATCTATCTGTTGAAGTAGAACTCAGTTTCGTTTTTTCCAGAGACCATTCCTGAATGTCGTGGTTAGAATGAATCTCTTCTACATTTCCATAACACCCTACTTAAGCTTTTATTTTGTGTGACTCTAGTAAATAGAGTTCTGAGAAATGCTCTGCATTATTCACTCCAGACTGCAAACTATTGGAGGGCAGAGCTTCTGTCACAGTCCATTACTGTAATTAATTGAACATTTACTGTATGCCAAGGATCATGACAAAAACTTTATGTCCATCACAATCTTTAAGCAACAAATCTGTGTGATAGGTCCTATACTTATTTTCATTGGAAAGTGTGATCAAGTGAAACACAAAGGTAAGTAACTTGACCAAGATCACACAGCCAAGAAATCTCAAAGTCTCAAAGTCTAAATCCAGACCTGTCTATTCCAAAGTGCACATTAGGCTTCATATAAATTCTCCCTCATTCTTTAGTGATATCCAGTCCTCCATGATAGAGTCTGGGCCCAGGTTTACTTCTGAATGGCACTCAAGAATTACTTTTTGAAATAAGTAAGGAAATTGGTCAGTCCTCTTGATATAACTCAATACTTCTGAAAGTGTCATCTTGATAAGGGAAGAATGACAAGGACAGAATTGTCAGGGAGGGGGTGTGAGAAAAGTATAGACAGGAGATAGCTAAAAAAAGATTATGACTTAGAGTCAGTATTATACACATAGTCGTAGAGGGCCTGTTGGAGCTGGTGGTAGTATACCAGGTTGGAGAGGACAGAAGGTATGAGAAGTGGAATTAATTGAAAGACTGAGAGGCAACTGGGGAAAGGAAAGCACTTGGGAATCAGGTAGTAAAAGTATGAATCTTCTATATTAGATAACTCCATATGATATATCATGATTCATGAAGTTACACTGAGAGACACTGAGAAGGTCTGCCATCTTCTCTTTTTGAAAAATAAATTTATCTTCCTTTTATTTGAGAGACAGAGTGGGAAAAGAGAGCAAGAGAGAGGGAAAGTGATAAAGAGCGGTAAGGATATCTTTTCTACCTGCTAGTTCACTCCTCCAAATTCCTGCAACAATCTTGGCTGGGTCAGCTCCATGCCCAAAGTCAGAAATTTACTTCAGTCCCCATGTGAGTGCCATAGTAGGAAGCTATGGGAACCAGAATTGGGTCTTGAAGATTGCCATTTTACTATGAGATATGGACGTTCCAGCAGTGACTTAATCACTGGGCCAAATGTCTCCCCTACTGGCCTTCTCTCTTTTTAACATTCTCAAACAAACATTGGGAGGTTAACATCTTTAGTTCTTATACCAAGAACAAAGACTGACTTCTGAGTTGTATTTTCATGCAAATGCCAAAACTACATTGAACAGTAGTTAACAACATGTTCAACTGCGTTATAAATTCACTGTACAATAACTCATTAGAGTGGCTGGATTTTGAAATTTAATTTGGTTGTCCCAAATATTCTATTCCCAACCATTTTTTAAAATTACAACCTTTTAGAAATAGGCAGGAGTATATGGATCACAGCTCTGAAGGAATAGTCAATTATCTGACAGCAAAATGGAGAGCAGGGAAGTCCTTAGGGGAACCACATTCTATGCCCATTTCATAGCATCTGTTTTCTGAATTAATTATTAAGTTATGATCCTTTCCTTGGTGAATGAACTCAAATCCATAAATGCTCATCTGAATCAATGTGCCAAACCCCAGGTGAAGTCCAGTTGCATTGAAGGCAGGAAGCAATCCTGCAGTGGTTGCCTTCTAATGAAGTAATTATTTACTATGCTGCCATCTGTCTTTATTTTGCCAAGCTACTCGATCAGACACAGCAGTATCACCATGCTCTGAGATAGTTATAAATTGTTCCATGCTTACATGGAATACTTGACCACAATATACTGTGAATTGTGTTTCATCCCTAGTCCTTGCCAGTATAATCTGGACTTTCTGTTGTAGATGGCAAACTTGATAAATACCACCAGAAAGCTAACAATGTAAAATGCTATGTTTTTTTGTGCTGTGAAGCAATAAATTAATTTATTAGGAGAAATTATCAGTCATAAATAATGGGCAAGTTGTGTAATATATAAGTTAGAATGCTATAAGCATCAATCTTATTTATATCAAAAGTTATTCTCATATAAGCCTGTGATACAGTATGGAAATAATTGTCATTACTGGTAAATTACCTATAAAGCTGATTTCTATTCACTGCTTTATTAACTACAGTATATGGGCACTCTGAATTGCTAATATTTCCTTTAAATTATAATCTGTGATGACATTGTGGTGCCTGTGTTACAAAAGCTATAGTGATAATCATTAACATAGTGTAATGCAATACTTAAGATTTATCAGGCTCTTATTAAGCCCGGTACTGCAGTATAATATAATGAAATGCAAGCCTATTTCTTCCAATTCAAAATCTAATATGCGGTTTTTCTCATAAATTATATAAACTTCAAAATAATGCATGAAAATGTGGCACAAAGTTAATTTCTATCATTATGCTGTTGTTTTTCCTCATGCTCTTCTTGTATTTGTATAACAATGTTTTTGTTCACCCTAGATAGTTGGTACTTACAATAATTTTATTAGCATCCAACTGTATTTTTCCTTTCTAGCTAAGAAGCAGAAATAGTTGAAACATCGAAGTTGATTTAAATAGGATATGTTTCCTGGGAAATTAAAGGGGGGATGCATTTCACTGCTGGGATTCTTTGAGGAACTCTACAGAATTTGCTTGGTGTGTTGTTTCACAGAAATAAACTGATAGTACATTTTGGTGGATAGAACAGTGATGGGTGGGTGCAATATTTTTCAACTATATCACATCTTTCAATTTTATAACACCAAAACAAAATGCAAAGCAAACGTGGAATCTAAATGCAAAATGTTTTGGCATTCTCATTCTTAAGATAAATACTGCAGCAGCACAAAAGCTAGGCAAAAAATGAAGATAAGGCCTAATGCTAGTTTCTTGTAGTTGTCCTTAGAGGCGCAGGCAGACTGCCCCTAGGCTGAGGATTTTAAGGAATATGTGGAAACTATTTTGTCCTAATCCTGCATCTCGGATTTCACCACTGTCTGTCAAGGTGAAAGTTATCCTCTTTGTCTAGCTCTTTCTTTTCAAGGTAGTAAAGTGGCCTCAAGCAGCTCTGCCAATTACCAGCCTGTGACCCCTGGGTAAGTCTCAGTTTTATCAGCTGTGAAATGGAGGTGATGATAATGCTTTCCCGATAGAGGAGTTGAGATGATAAATGTTGTATGAGTCTGTGGAGTGTGATACATGGCACAGAATAAGGGTTCAGAAATGTTGGCTGTTGTTGCTACTCTCCATTCCTAGTGAGGCTTCCTTGGTTCAAGCTGTTGTCTCTTGTTTTGATTATTGCGGATGTCTTTTGACTTCAGTTCTCTCTGAGTCCTTGCCTTGTGAAAATTAAGGAATATGAGACACAAAACTCACAACTGACCACGTTGCTCTTTCACTTATTCCTTTTCACTGGTTCCTCATTATCTACAGCAGATGGCACATGCCTACTTTTCAACATGACAAATGAGGCTTTTCCAGTTGGAATTCTTGCAGGGTCAGCTTCATAGCCAACCATTGTCTGCTTCACAGCAATCACCCTAGTGATGTGACTGTATCTAGAGGCTCATTTAGCTCATTGCTCCCGTGTCTTCATCATTGTCCGTGTTCTCCTCCTGACCAAAAGTACCATTCCCCAAACTCTCCTTCATATTTTCTGTCTCAACGTTGCCTGGTTAGCTCCTACTCAGAGCTAACTCCTAGCTCTCACTAAACCACACATGAAACCTCAGTTTCTCCTGGGAGCCTCTTTGTGGTTAGGTATCTCTTATCTCTTTCTCATAATACCTTACTTGTACCCATGAGCCACTAAAAATATCCATTTCCCTTTCCAAGGCTGTGCATCTTTTGAGTGTTAAGATAGTAATTATTAAGCTTGGTCTATCCAGGACCTGTGTCTGCACTATCCATGCCCAGTATGCAACAGGCAATGAGATTTTACCTTTTGTCTAAGTGTTGTGTAGACAGTGGTCTTTATTGTGAAGTTCAGCTGAAGCAATGAACCGTGGATTCATGTCCTGAATTAATCTTTTAGTCATTATTTACATGTTTCTCATTTCATACACAAAGAAAGTATGTTTAAATTCTAAGACGAAACAAGTATACCAAACTCTACAGAGTTAAAGCTGAGAAGCACTAATCTGAACTAGTGTTTCCATCTCTGACATAGATTAGCAGTTCACAGCATGATGCAGCCAGGCTCATTTCCATGTTAGCTACAAACCAATTCACAGGCAAAATACATGTTTTTTCTGAGGAAGGAATTAATCTTCATTTTCTGGAACATCTTGCAGAAATTAATTCAGCAGGCTATTTTGCTGAAGCTGTTTATTTTCTTTGATGCTGGCTTTGTGATTTTGTGATAAGAAAACTAATTGATGACAACCTAAAATTACTGTATGTTCTGGTTAGCAGGGCCAAGACCACTTGTGTTAGCAACTGGAAAAAACACTGGGAAGTGCACAATTGTGAGTTAGCACTGCAATGTAAATCCCACCATTAGGGAATTTTGTCTATATCATGACATGCTGTGTCTCTATTACCACTAGAAGACCAACATCAGGCACATAAAAGATGCTCAATAAATATTACATACCTTGAACCTGAAGAACCTGAGAAATGTCAAAACCTTGGCTGATTCTGACAATGACCACGCCAATCTCAAAATCAAATGCATCACTGAAAGGAGAAGTAAAGTTGTTAGTATTTCCGTTTTTAAAGTATTTATGTGAAAGGCAGACACACACATACACAACAAACACACACATCCTCTGGTTTACTTCCCAAATGCCTGTAATATCTGCGACAGGGCCTGGCTGAGTCCAGGAGCTGGGAACTCAGTAGGGTCTCCCATGTGGATGATAGGGACACAAATGCTCGAGTCATCATGTCCTACTTCCCAGAGTGGGCATTAGCAGGTCAAGACTTGAAACCAGACACCCTAAAACAGATGCAGGTGTCTCAGATGATGTCCTAAATGCTAACTTAACTGTTCCTTTAACACTGAAGTTTTGGACAGATATTAAACTTGTTTTTAGACTTTTGATGTAATAAATACTTTAGAATATAGCCAAGAACTTATGCCTTTAAGCCTTTTAAAAACATATTTTAGGTAGAAGTAATAAAATCATTCACTCTGAACAGCATCTTTTTTTTCCAGATAATACTATCAATTAGAATTCTAATTAAGGGCTCATCATATAGTTTTACATAATTGAGTTGCTTTTACATTTTTATTTAAAAGGCAAATTTTTATAGAGAGAGAAGAGATGGAGAGAGAGGTCTTCCATCTGCTGGTTCATTCCTCAAATGACCATAAAGGCCAGAGCCGACCTGAGCCGAAGCTGGGAGCTAGGAGTTTCTTCTTTTCCACATGGCTGCAAGGGCTCAAGGTCTCAGGTCTCCACTGCTTTCACAGGCTGTAAGCAGAGAGCTGGATCGAAAGTGAAGCAGCCGGGACATGAACTAGTGCCCACAAGGAATGCCAGCATTTGCAGATGGAGGATCATTAGGCTAAGCTATTGCACCGACCCAGAATTGTTTTTATAAAATCAGCAAAATAATTACCAGCATATTTATAGCTGAGTTAATGGCCTGCAAAGACTTTGAAAATATTATTTATCCCCCAACTCCCATGAGGAGGGTTCTTCTATGACATTTTTGACATCAAGTTTATGATTAAAAATGACTCCAGTTTATATCATGGATTTTGGATAGGTCATTGGGAGCAATACTTTTTCATGGTAACCTGTGTAACTGAAGATGGATCTTATACCTTGTCTATTTCCCAAACATTGGAAATAGATTATAATAGAGAAGTAAAGGCTCTCTGATTTCTACTCCTGTAGTACATTTTTTCCATGAATGAAGATAGAGGCAAGCCAATTAATTATTTCAGTCACAAAAAAGCTTTTTCTTGGGTGGATGTTTTTGCTAGCAATTAAGATGGGTTAAACATGCAACTAAAGTTCCTGTCTCCAGGTCCTGCAGACATACACCCTGGGAGGCAGCAGGGATGACTACTGCCCATGTTAGAAACCTGGATTGAGGTTGTGGCTTCACTTTGCCTTCAGTGTGGGAGCACACCAGTAGATTGGAGCATTCTCTTGCTCTTTGCTGCTGTCTCTCTCCTTCCCTTTCTTTCCTGTGCCTGTATCTCCCTGCCTTTCAAATAAATAAATAGAAGCAAACATTTGTCTTATCAGTTTCTTGGCTCAATCTCCTGTAGATCTGAAATGCAATACCTTTTACTATATGCCGCCCTGTCCCTAGAAGCAATGCAGTGTGTTTACCTTACCATAGGAAATCAAATTTCCAAAGGCCAAAACGGATATGAGTTGTCAGATAATTTTGTAAATAAGCTCACTGTAATGTGAACATCCACTCAAATGTACACTTAACAAAACAGATCCATACTAGTGCAAGTTTCCACCAAGTAAATTACTCATACACAAATATTGTTTCAAATTTTCCTTGACCATAAACCATAGAAAAATTTGTCTTACAGAAAAAGTTCTAGATAATGTGTTAGATGTCCCAGTGCCTAAACCATGTGAATACATCTCCTTCTGTGGTTAAAAGGACGTTGTAATGTGATCAGGTTCACGCCTTTGGGATGGGGGGATGAGCTAGGATTATCTGAGTGAACCAGGGTAATCATAAGGAGGAGGTCATAGTGCTGTGATAAGAGAAGACCTTGACCACTGTTTGCTAGTTGTTAAGACTGAGAAGAGGACCTTGAGTGAAGCCTACGTGTGGGCAGCTTTAGAAGCTGGAAAGGACAAGGTAAGGAATTTGTCCTTGAGCTTCGTGAACACAGCCTGGCCCATACCTTGGCTTAATTTAGCACAGGGAGATATGTGCCACTTTTTTAACCCACCTAGCTCTGAGATGAAGTGCATCTGTGTTGTTGTAAGCTACTCAACATGAGGAAATTTGTTAGGGCAGACATTAAACACTCATGCACATGCTAACTAAACGATTCTTAAGAAGAGGAAAACAAAATCTCGCACTCAAAAAAAAAAAGGCAAAACACTATGTTCTTGAAATAATATCCTCATGTTAGCAACTATACTGTTCTGTAAGTCATGAAATAACAAAAACCTGGAAAAAATGCAGTAGAAACACACAACTGCCTTATATTCACTCCACTTTATTACCAAGGTCAATTATTAATTAGTTCAATATTGCTAGGTTTGGTTATTTTGACCCCTTTGAATGTTAAGAATGTTTGGCATTGGGGGGAGGTTGGTTGGTAGATGATCTTAATAATTTTTTATTGAATAATGGATTCTTTGATTGAAGAATCACATTGCCATTTGCTTCCTTTCCTTCCCTCTTTCTCTGTTCCCCAGTGCACTTCCAAGACTGTACACTTCAGCAGTTGACTGTGATTCTAAGTGTATTAAGTGCTGTGTACTGTTTATTTAATATTATAAATTAGTATTGCCATATAATACTAAAATTCTGGCTTTAACCTAATGGTTTAGCCTTCATCTTCTAAATCAGAAGGAGCCAGCTGGCAATGCATAGTACCCAGGGTTTATATCTTTGGTAAATGATGCATTTAATAAATATATAGCCTCCTTACATTAGAAGGACTGTTAAGTGAATTTCAGTTTGGTCAGTATTGCATAAAATTCAGGAAGATGAAAATTATTTTCTCATACTTCTTTTAAATAGAGCTAAGAATGCCTTTGTAATTATGTCACATAAATCTGCCTAAAATGAGGACAAGTGAAATGCTTGTTATTGCTGGGGGCAGAGGAAATAGCCTAGTGTGAGAAGCATTAAGCATGTGATTGTTTTGAAGAGTTAAAGATTTCTTCCCTGTAGTTGTACCAACTTCCAAGTGCTGTCATACCTCCCAGGGCATGTTCTGAATGCTGTGGTGCAACATCAGAGCCTCGCCACATCCCAGGCACAGAACAACTTGCTTTCTTTTTGTTGACAGAAAAGATGGCTGTCAGGCATAACATTGCTTTTGTTGTGCAAATATTTTCAAGGCTAGAAGAGAGACTTTCTAGAATGTATCTTTGTGTAGGGAATTAATTTTATTTTACTTAAAAAAGGAAATCAAACCAGGTAATATTTTGGGATACATATAAGCATACATGCTTGTGGACACACATACACACTTTTGGAGGTAACAGTATTGGAAGTTAAGTTTGAATTTGAATGGTCTTGGGTTGGAATCCCAACTCTGTTATTTAACTAAACTGTGATTTTTTTGCATGTCACTTACATTTTAATGTTCCTGTTTCCATTTCCATTAAGAACAATAATGTTATTCCATACTTTTCTAAAGATAATGAAATGGGATAGTTCATGATAAGGATGTTAGCCTGGTGCTTGCTAGTCTGGTAAGGTTTCTTATCATGATCTCATTTCCAGGAGTCTCCAAATGTTTAGTGGTTGAATGACTCACCACCTTAAATTACATTCTCTGCATAAACTGATTTTGATACACCTGGTTGCACAAGCAGCTGGATTATAGGATCCCTTGTTGACTTTGGGATAGTGAATGTATTACCCAGTGCACAGAAGTAGGACTGACTTGAATGTTATCAGCCAAACCAAGATTCCAGGTGTTTTGGAAGAAAAATCTCTTCATTACCCAGCTGTTCTTTGATTTTACTTTCCTAAACATGCTGAAATTGTAAACATTTGCCTTTCCTTTGACACTAATGTCTCCCCTCACTATCACCTGCTCCCACACTCTCTCATCTCTTCTATGTTTGTTGGTGTTGTTTTGCTTTGGTAAAGAATTTAGAGTATCAGGAGAATGTGCTTTTCTTGGGCAATTTGATCTGACGCAGAGTGTTGTGCGCAGTACAAGTTATGCACTACCCTGGTTAGTGCTTCATAAACAAGAGAGCATCTTGAAGGCCATCACTTACTGTATAATTCCCACGTAATTCTCAATCTCTGTCAAGGGAGATTTCCTCCAGTTTCTTTTATATCCCATCACGAGCGTGTTTGGCTTCATTCGTCCTAAGCCTGAGGCCTAAAAAGAGGACATAAACACTTGGGCAATCCTTGCTGTACCAGGAAACTACCACGGCAAATGAAAACTAATGTCCGAAAGAGCACCGAAGTAATGTTCTGAAGATTCTGAAGATTAGATTACATTTTAGTGCATGTCCTTCATGCCCGTACCCAAGCATAAAATAGGAAAATTAGTTCTAAATCATCTCAGCCATAAATGGATTCTGGATGACAGAAATGTAGCTTTTCTAAATTAGCAGTCATTTGCATTTCTTCTGACACACTCATTAAAATGGTTCAATAATTTAAAATCAAGTGGGGGTCGGCTTAACTGTTGATATGCATGTTGTAACTTAGTGGTTCAAAGCTCATTTCTACCTGTTACAACCATAATGCCGTTTGCAATAAAATACATGTTTGGAAAATTCTTACTCTAAGGATCACTGAAATTTCTGCCTATATTATTTATTGAAGAGTGACTGGACTGTGTCTCTAAAAGCTAATCATCTTGCATGGCAGTATCATTATTAGCCATCTTCCATATCAAAAGTTTTGTTTCCCCCATTAGATGGTTTTCAGTTAATGAAATTTAAATTGGCAAGATTATAAAAGCACCTTTTAATCACTACGTGCTATTGGCAAGATTATAAAACACCTTGTAATCACCAGGTGCTATGGTATGTGTTGCAGGAGAGTAGTGAGGCATACTCATTGGCCTTAAGGTAGAGGAGAAAAGATACACATAATTCTAAAAAAATAAATACAAAGGCAATAGAAACCTACACAGAAGCACAAAAGCAAAATCTGGGATTCCAGCTGAGGGCTTACAGCTTCATGGGATAGGTGGCATTTGCTCTGAGCCTTGGAGACTGGTTAGACCTTGACAGGTGAAGATAAGAGGAGCAGTGAGAGTAAAGGAAAGCCATTCTGGATCACAAGAAAAGTGAAAGAAATGACCAGAACAGGACATTGTAGACGTAACAGCAGTAAGTTGAAGGAGATAAATGCCAATGGAAGGTTACTGAAATATACTTTACCTCCAGGATATTTGGTGTTTTGTTTTTGAATGAAAACGAAATAGTTCCTTAGAGCCAACATTTGGCACTTAACAGGTATGTGGCAATATGGATTAGATACTCTTCCATGACTATAGTTTGGAATGTTGTCAACCGTATTATTATTTCTTAGATTAAAGAAAGTTCTATCCAAAATGTGATCACTGGTGTTGCTTCCATGTGATACCACTCTGCCCTTCTGCCATGAGCTTCTTCCCTCTGCTTGTATCTGAAGGAATTTGTGTGAATTTGTGCATGTTCAATTTTTTCACCATTTCTTCCAAATTAACAATTATTTTTCATACCATATATTTTCTTTCCCTATTCTTATTCTTTATATGCATTTCCATCCATAGTTGAAATTTTTATTGTTTTACAGGCTGTGGTGTAATTTTCTATTAAATGTGTAACCTTCTCAATATATTTAAGCCAACAGCTACTGCAAAGTAACTATTTCTGAAAGAAGAATCAGCATTTTGCAGTGAATACCTATTTCCATGGTTTAGTGAATTAATAAAATGCAAGGAGCTGCTCATGGCTGGCGGGTCTTTCAGAGACTGCTTCCTTGCATGTGTAGCTACTTTGTGCAAGTGTTCTTTAGACAGGAAATCTTTAAATTTTTTTAAATGTCTACATTATTACAGATTAACCAATTTACCCCTTGTGCATATAAGTATTTGAGTTACCTTGAATTTGTGTATTTCAAAGTATGGCACTTAAAAAGCCAAAGATACCTATACTTGGGCTTTTCAAACATAGAAAAGCCAAAATGTTTAGAAAGCCAAGCTGTACAATTTCTGAGGATGCCTTGTATTGGTTAAATGTTTTTCTGGCACTCTAAATTATAGAGATGGAAACGAGGGAAAGATTTTATGTATCTTTTATAGAAGAGATAAAGAAGGAAAGAATAATGGAGAAATGATGTGCCTCACATTGAGCAGTAGGAATCCAACATTCTGAAGATAACTCGGTACAAGGACATTTTATGCCTAGATCACCACGCATTAATTTTGGTTGAGTCTAGCATCTACCCTTACACCATTTGCAAAAGAAAAAAAGAAAAAGAATGCCTAACTTGAGCTTTGCTATCTGCAGTATGACATGCAAAAACAGTTTAAAGTTTTAGCAGGATCCCTACCCACCAGCACAAATTTGCATTTCAGTAAGTGTGGGGACCTAATGTATGCTGGTGGTCTAAGGCAATCTAATTTTCCATTTCCAACATATCTCATAGTGATAGAAGCCGCCCCCCCCACCAACTTTTGTTCTAGCTCTGCTTAGCCCCAAGAATTAAGAAAGAACTCCCTAACCATGTGTATTGATCTCTGAGGTGAGTTGCTAAGCCACAGCCATTTCACTGTGAGAGCTTCATTAACATGGAGTGCTAATTGTTGACTATGTCTGCCTTCCTTCAATACCATCCTTACCTGAAGGAGACTTCGGACACCATCCCTAAAATAGTCTGCTGCCACCGCAGCATAAAAAGCCTTGATTTTGTTCTTTATAAGCCACTCCTGTTTTTTCGCCATGCCACTGTTCATCTCCTTAACGCACAGCTTGCGTGGTCCCTGTACAACACAATGAAATATTGGTTAGAAGAGCTGCTATTATACATCACACTGCTGTTGTTTTCTAAAGGACAAAAATAGCTAGCAATGCCCTATTGAGGCAAGAAATGGGAGAGGGAAAAATACCTCACTAAAGAGGGTTCATGCAGCTTTAACCTTTTTGGGGGGCAGACTGTGAGCTTACATTATTCACTTTCCACCCCATATGTCTAGATTTATTAACACCCGGTTAATGAGTTTTCATGCTGAATGTAAGGAATCACTGAGGGCATACTGGTACATGAGGAAAATACTGAACATGTAAAACACGAGACTGAGGATAAATACACAGTCAACTTCTGGCTCAACAGCAAGAGCCACTTTCACACCAAAGAAATCTCAGGTACAAATCGCTAAGAAATGAGCAGAGTTCTTGGGAGCTAGAACATGGTGAGCTGTGAATCCTGCTATGAACTGCATGTCTTGACAGTTCCATTAGGTTGATATATTGCTTTTTGTGTGGTCAGACTACCCTTGAAGCTATTCCTTGTGTAAGTGTGACACACTTCTGTTCAGCTTAACATTTCTTTTTCACTCAATACATTTGATAAAAACAGAAGTTCACATACCTATGGCATAAGAAGAGTTGAAGAGATTAAAAGAGGCAGTTATTATGATAGATAAGGCATTTTAGAATTTCCAAGTTTGAGTCTGAAAGCCAGTTTTTAGCTAACGTTCTGGTCATGTTTGTTCTTTAAAGGATCAATGTAGGTTTTTATTTTTTTCTTCTCCTTCCTAAATTTAATTCAAAAGATATTTCTGGGAGTAGGCATTTGACTTAGCAGTTAAGCCATTGGTTCCAATACCTCCATCCCATTTCATAACACTGGGTTTAACACCTGCATCCACCTGTCAACTCCAGATGCCTATTGCAGACCCTGAGGGGCTGGCTTTGTGATGCAGCTGGTTAGGATGATATCCCACATCAAAGTGCTGGCTGCTCTTCTTCAGTCCAGGTTCCCTGGGAAGAGAACAGATGATGGCCCAAGTGCTTGGGCCCTGCCAGCCATTTGGCAGACCCAGATGGAATTCTGCGCTTCTGGCTTTGGCATGAATCAGCACTGGCTGTTGCAGCCATCAGGAAGTGAACCAGCAGATGGAAGAGCTATCTTGTTCCATCTCTCTCCTCCTTTCATCCCCTTTTTTCTATTACTGTACCTTCCAAATAAATAAAATATTCTGGAAAAAAATAATACAGACCCTGAAAGACAGAGGTCATGGCCCAAGTGGTTGGTTTCCTGTCACAACGTGGAAGACCTAGGGTGAGTTCCTGTCTTCAGCTGCGTCCTTTCTTGACAGGTCATTGCAGGTGTGGGGGGAGTGAACCAAGATATAGAAGTGCATGCTTTCTCTTTCTCTAGCTATGTCATTTTTTCTATCTATGTCATTTAAAAATTTTTCCTTTTTTGTATTTTTAATTTTTTCTTTAAAATAAAATAAATTAATATTTGCTTTTATTTATCTGAAAGAGTTGCACAGAGAAAGGAAGAAAGACAGAGATGGAAAGAGATCTTCCTTCCGCTTGTTCGTTCCTAAATGGTCGCAGTAGCCAGGGCAGTCCAGGCCAAAGCCAGAATCCCAGAGTTTTTTTTGTGTGTCTCATGGTGGTGCAGGGGCCCAAGAATGAGGACCATCTTCCATGCTTCTCAGGCACATTAGCAGGGTGTGGATCAGAACTGGTTAGCCAAATCTCAAATTTGTACGTATATGGAATACTGGTGTCACAGGCAGCAGTTTAATCCATTCGCCAGGTCCAAATAAATAAATTTTTTTAAGTTACCGTGATCATCTATTACATGTAAAAAGTGTTAAAAGTTCTACATTCACTCCATAATCATTTTAATTCATATATTTATATTTTGTTGTGATGCCTTCGATTTCACATAAATCACATGCTATCAATACACAGCATTTCTAACAAGCTCCTAGATGACATGCATGCTGCTTGTCCTGAGACCATATCTGGAGTCATGTTTTGTAAGATTTTAGATAGGAGAAAAAGAGCACTGGGATATATGAAAAAATGTCTAAGCTTTACAGTCAAACACAGATATCTAAGAATGAAGCTTGGCTATCTTGGAAGTCATTAATTGTTTCCAAGCTGTGAAGTAGAAATGCACTGTCTGTCATAAAAGGTTGTTTGGAGTCGTGAAAATAAAGTTCCAATACAACGTCTGGAAAATAGTAAGAGCTTATTCCAGCACGAATTTTCTTATTGTAAATGAATGCTCACAATCTCGTTGAAGTCTCAGATCCCATTGTCTTACTGTGTTTGCTCTATAACAAAGCTGCAAGAACAGTATGCTAAGAGTCAGGATCTTAGGTTTAGATTTGTGTCTGGCACTGACTATTCTGGGTGTGTCATTTGTCCTATCTTGATGTAGTCCCAGCATTTATAAAAATAAGGCAGCTGCCTGAGTCGTCACTGCCCAGTAAGATAGTCATTATCCAGTATTTCTAGTTTGCTTTTGAAACGTGGCTAGTCCACACTGAGATGTGATGAAAGTGAAAAATATGTACTGGATTTTGGATGCTTAGTACCAGGAAGGTAGTAAATATCTCAATATTTCTGTATTGCCTATATATTGAAATATTTTGGATATATTAAGTAGTAAATATGTTATTAAAAACAACTGTATCTATTTCTTATTTCTTTTTTTTCTGGTGACTTGAACATTTTAAATTGCTCATGTGGCATGCATTATATTTCCATAACAGAAAAGGAGATAAGTTCTGGAGTCCCTTTCATTTTAATATTCTACTTAGATGAAATCAACGCCTTTATATGGCTATTTTTACAATATATTTCTACAATGCCAACTTATAAACTTAAAATAAATACCTTCATTGAAGATAAAAGATGCAGAGAATCAAGAAGTATAGTTATTAAAACAAAAGACATGAGCAAAAAAAGATACATTTTATGGATCAAAGGTGGCCCAGATTTTCTAGTCTGTCAATGCGTTTTCATCCATTAGTCCTTTTTCGGGCATTCTAGACTCCATCAACAACAAAGGAGAGAAGGAATATTCTACTGGAGGAAACCCAGTGGTAATAATAGCTGTTGCCTGAAGAATAAACAATTAAAATGTTGGGCCATCGGTATATTGAGTTGTAGTACATGACTATGAGCCCTTGTGGAAAATGGCATTTATTTGAATAAATGTAATCAAAAGTATCTATTAGTATCACATAAATTCATATTAAATATGACTAAAAGATTTATTTTAATACCCAACTTTGTGCCAATTTGAAAAGGTAATAAAAATATTTCATGCGAGTTTGGTGCAGTAGCCTAGTGGCTAAATCCTTGCCTTCCACGCTCTGGGATACTATATGGGTGCTGGTTCATATTTTGGCTGCTCCACTTCCCATCCAGCTCCTTGCTTTTGGCTTGGGAAAGCAGTAGGGGATGGCCCAAAGCTTTGGGAACCTGAACCCCTATGGGAGACCTGGAAGAAGTTTCTGGCTCCAGGTTTTGGATCAACTTATCTTCGGCCATTGTGGCTACTTGGGGAGTGACCCAAGGGATGGAAGATCTTTCTCGTTTCTCTCCTTCTCTTCCAAAAATAAATGAATAAATCTTAAAAAAAAATTATATAGGAGCTGGCATGATTGCTCTACTAGCTAATCCTCCGTATTCAAGCAGCAGATTCCTATACGGGCGCCAGTGGTGTCCTGGCTGCTCCAGTGCCCGTCCAGCTCCCTGCTTATGCCCTGGGAAAGCAGTTGAGGATCGCCCAAAGCCTTGGGATTCTACAACCACGTGGTAGACCCAGAAAAACTGCTGCCTGCTGGCTTCAGATTGATTGGCTCGTTTAGGGAGTTAACCAGCAAATGGAAGGTACTTTTCCCTACCTGTCCTCTGTAAGTCTGCCTTTCCAATAAAATAAACAAATCTAAAAAAAATTTGTGTAGAACTTCTTATTAAAAGCATTTATGATACCCTTATTGAATGTATTCATATAAAGCTAGACTTCAGTACAAATGTATGAATGACAGAGAAAAATAACCAAGAGGGAAAGCACACTGAAATACAATAACCCAACATTCAAGAATGTCATAGTCACAGAAATGGATTAAAATATTAGAGAGATTACCTGCACTTGAGACCTATGAATACATTAAATTAATACAGGATTTGAACAAAAATTAATATTTTACATATGTTATGACTTGGACATTGACAACTGGGTAAAGAGTTTCTAATTATTTAGTCTGGAGAAGTTGATGTGATAATGCTTCAAATAAATGAATATTCCAAAAAGGAATTTTGCAGAGATCCCAGCATCATTGGGATCAAATAGAAGAATTTGAACCAAGTAAAATGTTCTTTCCAACTTTTGTCTTTTAAAACATGGGAAGTGTTACTGGTCTCTGCTTTCATTGCTGCTTTGGTTCGGAATGTGGAAAGGAGTATGTTTCTCAATGTCATTTAGTCCATATATCATCTCACCAAGTGTCCTGGTGCCCATTCACAGGTCATTTCATTCTTTCTGTCTTTGGTCATGTCACAATTTTATTAACATCATGACATGGGCTCACTGACAGAAAGAGAACCGATGCATCTAAAGAGTATACAATTTTTTGTGGGGGAGAAGTGAACAGTGGAATTAAGAGGAAGACGACAGAAGGAAAAATGAGAACTGTCGTTGTTCCTGGGTTATTTGGGCTTGAACAGCTCTCCAGTTAGGGGATAGTTTTCTGCTCTGAATTTTCTTGAGAAATTCTATAAGAGAATGAGTTTTTTTTTTACTTTGTGGAGATATTAATACATTTTGGAACAAAAGGGACAGAAAAGGCGAAACTTTATTAGGATAGGATTCTACATGAGGAAGCTGACTAAAGATACCATTTTTTAAAAAGATGATTTTAAAAATTGGAAAGGCAGATATACAGAGAAGGAGAGACAGAGAGGAAGATCTTCCATCCAATGATTTATTTCTCAAGCGGCCACAATTGGAACTGAGCTGATCCAAAGCCAGGAACCTCTTCCCGGTCTCCCACACAGGTATAGGGTCCCAAGGCTTTGGGCCGTCCTCAACTGCTTTCCCAGATCACAAGCAGGATGGGAAATGGGGCTGCTGTGGCACAAACTGGTGCCCATATGGGATCCCTGCGCATTCAAGGTGAGGACTTTAACTGCTAGGCTACCGTGTGGGGCCCAAAGTTATTTTTTTCATAATGAAAGAAAGGATAGTTTCAGCTAGTGTGAAATAATGGGAAAAACAGATAACAAAATAGATATGCATTTTTATATGCATGCATGGAATAATTATAATACATAGAGTTTGGATATTAGGGCCCATGGGTTTGCAATGGTCACAAAGGAACTTCACCTTGACCTATATTATTTATTTCATTTAAAAATGAATGGCAATATTGTGACAAATATACAAGCAGCTGTTCATTAGGAGTGGTAGAAGAGGTGTTTCATTCCTTTTCATGTGAACTTGCTCATATTCAACAATATTGATCTACAAAAATGTGCATTTCATGATTCAATCTATTCTTTTTCTTAATGTCTTCAAATTAAAAATAGAAAGTCTTGGACCCGGCGCCGCGGCCTAGTGGCTAAAGTCCTTGCCTTGAACGCACAGGGATCCCATATGGCTGCCAGTTCTAATCCCGGCAGCCCCGCTTCCCATCCAGCTCCCTGCTTGTGGCCTGGGAAAGCAATCGAGGATGGCCCAAAGACTTGGGACCCTGCACCCGCATGGGAGATCTGGAGGAAGTTCCTGGCTCCTGGCTTCAGATTGGCGCAGCCAGCACCGTATGTTGTGGTCACTTGGGGAGTGAATCATCAGACAAAAGATTTTCCTCTCTGTCTCTCCTCCTCTCTCTGTATATCTGACTTTGCAATAAAAATAAATAAAATCTTAAAAAAAACTAGAAAATCTTTTGCAATTTTAAGGCAAACAACAAAATGGGAGAGTGGCATATTTTGGGGAAATAATGATTTTTTAATTCAATCTGCATTATAAATACAAGATCAGTTGAATCACATTTGTTCTTTACAAGTATATCTGTTTTTGTTTTAATAACAATAACAATAAAAATACTTTGCCTGTAAATGCAAACCTGACAATATGGAATGAGGAGCTATTGAAATAGGATTCTTCTCATATGAGAAAGTTAAGTGTGAGCTGACACTGCCACATTTTTAGAACTAAATGTGATAAACCTAGACAGTCAGTGGTATATAAATCGAAACTAAGTTCTCCGCAATTATTGAATTAATTATTTTCCTACCTACTGTGAATTACAAGTGAGAAAACTAATCGATAAAAAAAAGTCAGGGTTTATTTATGTCAATATTTAAGGTGGAACTGGGGAAGGTTACACTTGTAACTCTTAACTCAGTACTTGATTCTCGTGGAACCCACTGACTTGAGTATGCTGGAAGGTCAAGTCCTGGTCCTCTTTTCTTCTCTGATGATGGAAGTGAGATTCAGAAGCACAAAATTACTTAGAGCATCTTAGGATTGAAGTATGTTATTGGTTTACTACGCGGTAGTTCAAAGAACTGAAGACATTTTCAAATCTTACAAAGCTGAATTTCTTAAAGAAGTTCAAATTTGCCTTGGTAAAAGGTGCTTTATCTTAAATATAATGAGAAGGATACAAGCAGAAGAAGGAGGAAGAATTTTGATAAGTTAGGGTAGGTAACTACCCTAAACAGGAGATAAATAGGAGAAATAGGAGACCATTGTGAGTGTGTGGGATGCAACAGAAAGTAGTTTTCTTATTCTCATTTCCATGGCTTCCAACATGGTCACTAACCCTTCAGAACCACAATTGCTGCAATAAAGGGCAGCTGGAGTTAAACGATTTTAGTCTACGCAATGACTTCGAAATGTCCATGTTTTGCTCCTTTCTGGTAGTGTAGCAGCACTCCAACCAAGTATTTGCATAGCTGACGTGTACCAGAGGCAGGGGACACAATGCCTGCAGTGCTGTGGTTGGTGCAGTGGGAGTGCATGGTACACACTGAAGTGCTTTATCATGATTAAGTTGCTAGTTACCTAAAAAGTTCAAAATCCAGTACTGGAACTGCTTTTTCTAAGAGAGGATGCTTTAGTTGAAAGCATTATTTTTCTGGAAAAAAATGGCACATCAAAAATAATGAGAATTCCATTGACAAAGTGAGTAATAATAGCTAACATGAAATGAGCATTTACTATTTAGTAGCCACCAAACTGAGTATTTGGAAATTTATCTTATGTGCTTTTCACAACAACTGTAACATAGGTGCTGTTTTGTTATTCATTTTGTAACTCAAAAAAATTCAAGGCACTAAATGCTGTGCCCAAATAATTCATAGCTAATGGGTAACAAAACAGTGACTCAGAATTTGCTAGGCTCAAAGACCATGAGTTCCAGCTTCCTAGAGTAATAACAAAATTTTCATAGTTGAGGTAGGTATTGTAGCATAGTGGGATAAGCCACTGCATGTGATACCCACATCCCCGATCAAAAGGGTTTGAATCATGGCTGTTCTGCTTCCAGTTCATCTGCCTATGAACTGGAATGGCAGCATGCTGGCCCATCAATTGAGCTCCTGCCACTGACACAGGAGACCCAGATGGAGTATGGGACTCCTGGCATCTTCCTGGCTTGGTCTTAACTGTGTGTATGTTTGGGGAATAGCTAAGTAAAAGTAAGATTTCTGTCTCTATGCTTTTCAAGTAGATAAAATTATTTTTATTAAACGTTCATATAAACGTTTCTGAAAATTGTCATTGTCTTACTGTCATCACTGCTTAACATGTTCCACAGAAAGCTGGCTTTACCATCAGCCACTTGCACTTTGGGGAAAACGTTTCTAGGGAAGTGGTGACTCTCCTACATCGCTTTCCATCTGTTTCTTTGTTAAGATGACTGACAACTGAGCCCACAGTGTAAGAATGCTAACAACATCTGAAACCCCAGTAGCTCACAGAAAGTAATTAACTGATCCAGCAAATGTTTCTGTTCCCGGGAGAACATGGGCATTCAGAAACAAGACTCTTTGGGCTTACATGAGGTGGGCAGTAATGTACACTGCGGTACAACATACATGTCAAACAACCAAGGCCATTGGAAGTAGAGACTTGGGTACCTACTCCAAATGAAATGATGCTACTCTGGCATCACAGCTGTTTATTATAGTTAAACAAAAAAGGGTTAATTACAAGCAATATATATTGTCACCTAGACTCCCCTGCCAATATATGACTGCTTATACTCCAAGCTCATTTCTCCAGTCTTGAAGATATTTTATTGTCTGTTAAACTGAGTTTTCTCTAAATTGCTGAAGAAGAGAAACACCCCAAACTGCTTATTCCATCAAAAGTGCTTTCTATATTATATTGACCAAAATGAAATCCACTAATCTAGGGCACCAAAGTTGATAATGTGAGAAGAGGATGCTTGATGAGATTTTTAAAAATCCTCTGGAGTCACAGTTGGCCATTACTTAACCTGTCAATCTTAAGGATTAAGTAGAATTTCTTCCACTACCTTCCTGGATAATTGCATTGAGTTATATTGTTTGAGTTACTATCATATAAGCATCGAGAAGAGAGAGAATATAACCAACTTGCTTCATATAGCATTTATAATATCAGTTTTAGCCTTAATGACATTGTGGTAAGTTAGCTCCCTGCCTTAAGGCAGAGAAGACTAGCCCCAAGTGTCACACAACTTCCTGACAGCCCTGTTCCAAGGCAAACAGGAAATTTAAATAGTGGTACCTGATGCCAACTAAAAGCCCAGGATAAAGGTCTTTTAAGGGTTTCTTATGCTAGTACTACACAGAGCATTCCCAGGTGACATGAACTGACATAGGGTACATCATGTGATGCGGTGATAATTTAATACTCCTGAATCTCGCTTTCTCAATCAGTACAATGAAATTGGACTTATTTTCCTTTCTTGCTCATCAGGCTGTTGTGTGAACTGAATAAGAAAAACTGTAGGAAAATATTCTGAAGAACATTTAAATATTTTAGTGCTACAGAAATACTTTGACATAAGTATTTTGAGTGGTGTGTGTGCACATGTGTTGATGCGAGTGAGCTATGAGAATACAATGATGGTAGACTAAGATGTAGAACTTACACTTAATATTTTATCCTAATTTTTATGTTTTCTCTCCACTTAAGAAATTGGTTAATAATTGTGCTTAAATTTTTATTACCTACTTGGAATATTTCCTAGAAAAACCAGCAATAAAATAATCTACAACATGCTTTCTGTACACAAGGGAATTCTTTAGAAAGCTTTGGCTTTACCAAAGACATAGAAAAGTAGGTTTAATTCCCTGGATATTTCTAGTGCCATCAAGTTAATCCAAGTATTTAATCTAAGTTCTCTGTGCAATCAGTTAGGTGCCACCACGTCTGCTTTTCTCACTGTTGGCTAATCTGTATTAAAGTGCTCAATCTGGCTCATTCCATCCTCTTCTATTTCTGTGGACAATTAGCCTAATGCCTTCATTTCATTTCTGAGTCAGTTTTCTTTTTCTTGACTCAAAGACCATCTATCAGAAGTATTTATCACTTTTAGTTGGTGTCCTGTGAAATCAGAAGTATGTTTCATCCACTCATTTAAATTCAGGATCGTGGACCCTTGCTAGTCCTTGTAGGAATCAAAGAAGTCAAGCTCTTCTGCCATTTACTTATTTTCCCCATCTACCTTTTCTGCTCACTGCACTGAAGGTGATCAGGAAGTGATAAGGTATTTTCCTTGGATGAAGCGACTCTTACCACAAAGACTTCACAGCAGATGCAGAGGCCGCTGTTCTTGGTAAAGGCATAAGCGATGTCCAAGAGAGCAGGTCTGGTCATGGGTCCACCTGTCAAGACAATGCACTGGGGTCTGGAAGTGGAGAAAAGGTGGATGTGAGAATTCAGCATTGCAAAAATCCTGTGCATCCCCAATTAAACCAATGGAAATGGCAGATACAGAAGACTTTCGCAAGCTTGTGTTTTGAGGTTCCATTCAAAGTAAGATAAAATAAATGAAAAACAAATTATGTCTCCTAAAATCCCAGCAGGCCATAAAGACTTAAAGCTGAGTAGAGATGATTCCATTGATTAATATGTGGGAATTTGGAGACATCTCTCCAAAATCTCATCACTTGGGCCACCTCTCTCTCCAAGAATGGAAGGTAGCACCAGGCACCATGAGGGACTGTGGTTTGGGATGGATGTTAACTCAGAATAAAAGGAGAGAAGCACTCAAGTACAGGAAGTACATTCATGAAAATATACTAGCTTTGTATGACTCCTAATTTTTAGAATATATCTGTAAATCTTATGAATATTCTGGTGCTCTTGTCTCCCACTAAGGAAAGGCACTTCTAATGTACAAAACTAGGGTGCCCAAGAAAACAACTTTACCTGAAGTTTTTCACATGATCTTCCACGGTGGTTAATTCTAGAGCATTGTCTAAAGCACTAACGTAAGAAAGGGCCTGGGTGGAGGAGCCCCAGTTTACATCTGTGGACAAAAAGAAAAAATGGCAGAAAAATCATTGACCCTTTGTTCACATACCGTGAATAATTTTTACAAACCATTTCCTTCTATAATTTTCCTTGATTGTGCCAGCAGTGATGAATGCCCCAATTAAAGAAAATATAATGTAACATATCCTAGAAAGAGCTTTGTGTCCTTCCTTGGACTATGTAGATCCTTGGAAGGGAGACTGCTTTCCAGCTGAGGATTCTTTAAAGGTGCAGTTTATAAGTCCTGCTCAAGAAGCCATAATATAGGCAGCAGATGTGAGAAAATGAGCAGCACCCGAGTTAGGTCTTCACAAACTCTTAAAGCAAAAGGAAAAAAGTTATTTCCCTGTTGACGGTGTAACATTGTCTTTGTATTTTGAATAGTAAACCTGAATAGCTCAGGAATCCTTACAAATGTCTGCAAAGAGGGTAGGAGTTTCCTATCAAGAATATTAGCTCAATTTTTTTTAGAATCTAACCTCCTTAATAAAGGAGGCCAGCACTGTCTTTTTTTTTTCTTTTACAAATTAAAATGTTGAATGCTTCCCCCTCTGAAGCTTCATAAGATGAAGTCCTGAATACGAACACACAGATTCTGAGATGACAGAAAGAACCTGTTCACCCCAGCCTGGCTCTGTAACATCAAGGGAAGAGTTTGGGAACCATTTTGAAAAATAAGGAAAATGAATATTAATGTTGATTGTGAATTATGCACCAGAGACTAAGGTAGTGAAAACTCTTCCATTCGTTTGGATACTTGTATGAATTAAATACATTTTGAAACATACATAATATCATATATGGAATTAACCTCAAATAGAGAGCAAATCCAAATGTAATTCCTTCTGACCTAGGGATATCTTAGACAAAATTCAAAATGCTAAACCATAAGAGAAAAAATTTAGGAACTTTGGTCCTTCAACCAATGGTAAAGAAAATTTGAAGAGAAGCCATAAACCTGGAGAAAACATTTACATAACACACACTACATCCAGAACATATAAAGAACTTGCACCTAAGTGATTTTAAAGAACTGAAAAAAATGAGCAAATAATTAAACACTTGACTAAAGAAGATATACTGATGATAAATAATTACTGGGAAAATGCAAATTAAGCCACAATGAGATGGAGCTACACATCTATTAGAATGATTTTAGAAAAATAACAGTTTTATATGTTGACAAGTCTGGAGTATCTAGCCCTCTAATTTGATGCTGGTAGGAGTTCTAATACTATAATAGAAAGTAATTTGTCGGTTTCCTATAAAGTTATATATATATGTGCATATATATATATATATATACTTGCTCTATAAGCAGAAATCTCACTCTTAGATATTTACACAGAGAAACAAAAGCATAAAATCCTCTATATGGATATTTGCAGTAGCTTTATATGTAATCAGTATAAAGGGGAAATAATCTAAATTTTTATCAACTAGTTTTCTAAAAATAATACTAGTTAACAACACAAAGAAACAAACTGCAGGATACAACATGGATCAATGTAAAAGCATAATACTAAGTGATTGGCAGCACACTAAAAAAACCACTATATATTATATGATTTTATTTATATAATATTGAAAAGTAAACACTATAAATAAAATCCAGAAAAGCAGTTGACACGAGCTGGTGCTGTGGTGTAACTGGTAAAGCTGCACGCTGTGGGGCTGGCATCCCATGTGGGCATTAATTTTGATCCCAGCTGCCTGCAAATGCATTTTGGAAAAGCAGTGGAGGATGGCCCAAGTAACTAGGCTTCTGCACCCATGTGGAAAGCTCCTGGCTCCAATTGTTGAACCAGCCCAGCTCCTGCCATTGCTGCCATCTAGGGAGTAAATTAATAGATAGAAGATCTTTCTCTCTCCCTTACCACAATCTCTTTTCTCCCTGTAAGCTCTTTCAAATAAATAAATATTAAATAAATATATTTTTTTTCAAAAAGAAAGAAAAGCGATTACCAGGGCTAAGCCCAAGGGGAAAAGATGGACTATATAGGGCCTTAGGAGAACTTCTGAAAGTGATGAAAATATTCTGTATCTTGAACATGGTAGTCATTATAGGATTGTTTACATCTGTCAGTGCTGGCATCATGGTTTAGAGGATAAAATCACTGCCTGTCATTGTGGCATCTCTTATGATTGTTGATTCATGTCTCCGCTGCTCTGTTTCTGATCCAGCAACCTGCTGACAGCCAGGGAAAGGCAGCAGAGGATGGTTCAACTGCCTGGGGCCCTGTCATCCACACGGGTGACCTCGATGAAGCTTATGATTCCTGGTTTTGCCCTGGCTCAGCCCTAACCATGATAACCTCTTGGGGAGGGAATCAGTGAATGGAAGATATCTGTTACTCCTTCTGTCTCTGTTAACTCCGACTTTCAAACAAACAAGTAAATTTCTTAAACTGCATATCTGAAAGGAATGAATTTTATTACAAGTATACAATTTTTTTAAAAATCCCACCAAGGGAGTTCCCCCAGAGTCTTTATCTTACCTGGCTTTTTGTAAGTCACATAGACATAGAGGAAGAACTCAATGACATAGGTGATGACAGCTGCCCACCAGTTGATGACAAACATGACTGCACAGCACAGAACAGCTCCAAAAAGAGATACCCACATGTTGTAAACTCCATATGCAGGTCTCCATCCTGTAATAAAAAATATATACTGAAGGAATTCATTCATGCCATTGCATATTTTAACGAAGCAGGCAAAATGTCTTTTCCTGTTTAAAAAAATTAACATTTTAGAGTCATTTTTCCTATCTCTGCTTGGTTCCCTGGTCTATAGTGGCTGTACCAAACAGGATGTTTTAAAACTGTGTGAAGTATAATCAAGCATCTAACACCTCCATGCTCATGACTACTCCAGATCCCTCTATAATTCCTGAATGCCCCCTGATTGGCTCCCCCCACTAGCACACCTTAAAGCATCTGTTTCTTTGCCATTAAGAGTGGAAAAGAGCCAAGAGGGATGCAAATAGTGGGGTGTAGAGGGAGGGAAGAACTTGATGGACCAAGAGGTTGATACAATGAAATTCTTGCTCGAATTGAGAATACAGAGAAGCTATCAAGGGTCAGTCTGTTTGGCTTTTTGGCAGCTCTTCATTACTGCAAGGGGGTAGTGCTTGCTTATTTAGAAATAAATGATCTGGGCCTGGCGCCGTGGCCTAGCGGCTGAAGTCCTCGCCTTGAACGTGCCGGGATCCCATATGGGCGCCGGTTCTTATCCTCGCAGCTCCACTTCCCATCCAGCTCCCTGCTTGTGTCCTGGGAAAGCAGTTGAGGACGGCCCAAAGCTTTGGGACCCTGCACCCACATGGGAGACCCGGAAGAAGTTCCTGGATCCTAGCTTCGGCGCAACTAGCATCGGCCGTTGTGCTCACTTGGGGAGTGAATCATCGAACGGAAGATCTTCCTCTCTGTCTCTCCTCCTCTCTGTATATCTAACTTTCCAATAAATAAATAAAAATCTAAAAAAAAAAAAAAAGAAAGGAAGAAATGATCTATGGGAAAAAAAGAAAAATGTTTCTATCTGAATTCTTCAACTTAGTACATTAATATGACATGCATTAATTTTTCAAGATTTCTGTATGTGTTTGGGCTTTCTGTGTTCTATTAGAACCTGAAAGGAAAGAAGTTGAGAGACAATAGGGTCAGAAAGGGGGAAGTTCTGGTTAGGAGGGCACATTTGTTAAGGACATTTTAAATTGGGAGCTGCGAGTTTGATCTGTGGTAATGCAACAAGATGGAAGAATCCACCATGGAGCGGGGGAGCAGGTTTTGGGGAAGAGAGGGGGGAATCCCAGTGCCTGTAAAACTGTGTCGCATGATGCAATGTAATCAATAAAAAAAAAAAAAATGGGAGTTGCCAAATCACAACAGAATTTTAAGCCTGCAGGAGCAATTTCCTAAATGGCCACAAGATGGAAACAACACTTTGAAAAATTCACAGGAAATACCCTGATTTTTTTTTTTTTCAGTCTGGCTCAGAGAAAAGAGTAAAGAAAGACATTTTCTCAGTTTCATCTATGTAGTTTTGTATTCTGCTCCCTTACCCCCTTCTCTTTCCTTCCCTTCCTTCTTTAACTTTTTCCTGTCTCTATGAGACATTTGTGGGGGGGGGGGATGACATTGGGGAAAAAACATGACATTAAAAGATAAGTTTATTTTGATGTCATACATATATATGTGTGTGTGCATTATATATATATATATATATATTCATGCCTAGGTTTTCTTTTTTTCAGATTTATTCATTTTTATCGGAAAGGCAGATATAGAGACAGAAGGAGAGACAAAGAGAAAGATCTTCTGTTCACTCCCCAAGTGGCCTGCAATGGCCAGAGCTGAGCCAATCCGAAACTAGGAACTAAGAGCCTCTTCTGGGTTCCCCACATAGGTGAAAGGTCCCAGGCTTTGGGCCATCGTTGACTGCTTTCCTAGGCCACAAGCAGGGAGCTGGATGGAAAGTAGAGCAGCTGAAACTCGAACTGGCACCCATAAGGGATCCTGGTGTATGCAGGGCAAGGATTTAACCACTAGGCTATCATGCCAGCCTCCCCCCAGTTTTTTCATTATGTGAATCTTCTATGAACTTTTCAGACTCCTCGGGTTACTTCACTGTTTTTGGAAGTTGCCATAGCATGTGCTGAGTTGCACATCTCTCTGTGTTAATAGGACATAACAGAACAGAAGGGGGATTCTCTGGTTATCTTCTCTAGCTTCATGTTGGCTGGATAGACGACCCCCTGCCATCTGTATTTTTTCTTACTGACAGCAGGTTTTCCCATGGAGGCTGGAGATTATGGAAGACTCTAAAAGAGCACAAATGTGCGCAAATCCCCAACAAGAAGCGTAGTGAAAAACAGTGCGAGGACTGATAATGGCAAGTCTTACTTCAGGCAGAAAACCACAAGAAATTCTATTGGCCAACAGAACCAAAGAAGAGGTGTGTTGATTCGATGGGAGAAGTTTCTTTGGTGTGAAATTTGGAATGACTTTAAGCCGTGGTCCAAGGAGTACACTGATGCGCAGGGCACTAGCGAGATGGGACGCCACATGAATCTGCATTGCCTGCACCCAGCAGGTAATTATGGGAGTTACTCATCCTTCTCTTCTGCACCATGGGCAGGAAGCAAATTGATAGTAAGGAAGTTTCAAATATATACATTTATTCCACTTCTGTGGTCACTTTCACCCTAGAAATAAATAGTGGTGTTTTTCTACCGCTGAAATAAATGTGATTTCTCTTGCAATGAATAATTTATTGCCACAGGAGAAAATTGACTTTACGGTTGGTCAAAAAGGCCATTGCTCAAATGATTCTTTTTCTATTTCAGAAGTCATAGCCCAACTCACCAAAATAAAGTGGATTATACTGCCCACTAGGATATAAGAAAACATGTAAACACAGATTGAACACTTTTCACTGACTTATTTTACTGAGATGAACTCACTGTTTGCTTGTACTTATTTTAGTTTTGAAATGAAAACTTACCTGGAGATTTGGCATAAGAAGCGTGGAAGCAGGAGAAATTAATAAGTGCATACGAGGCCAGGAAAAAGTTGGAGATGATGGGTGCAATGGTGTTCAGCTCCGCTGGAAAAGAGGCAGAATTGAACATGTAGCGATGAGTGATGAGCGCAGGGGCTGAACAGCTGCTCCTGCCTGGAAGCTTGACTTTATTTGGAAATTGAAAACACAGCTAGCATCTGTCAAAGTTTAAGAGAATAGTGATTTTTTTTTTCCTTGGTGGCTGCACATATATATCGTTAGCCAGAGTTTCCATAGGGGAAGAAGCCAGAGAACCCACCGATCGGGACACAGTGAGACCTCTGCCCATAAGGAGCCAAGTGGGCCTGCTTAGAACACACAGTCAGTTGCCCTGTAGTCATTCTGGAGGCATTGTGTTGTTTAGCTGATATGTCTACAATCAGAAGGCTCTGCAGAGTGACAGGGTAGATGGATACCTGTGTACCAGAAACTCCAAATTGGTGATCTCTGCATACGCACACCACATTCACTGACTGAGGATTCCTATTAGTCACTGTTAGTCTATAAAGGATTCTACCTCTCAAGGCTTACAGAAGCACTTTGACCTCAGTAGTGAAATACACAGCATGGTTTAATCCCAGCTGGATTGTTTGCTGTGTGATATAGGAACAAATGTAAAGCCATCCTCTCTGGAGGTCAGACATCTGTCAGCTTCACAGTTGCAAATGCAGATGCAGCTGAGTTTAATTCTAGCACATGGATAGCAGACAGGCACAGTTGCCACAAAACTTGTGCAGGGAGTTAATGTGTGCCATTTTATGAACTATTTATTAACAGAAAAGACTTGCAGACTCATTTCTTCTTGGACACACCCACAGGATGGCCTTGGCAGTCGGTGGTCTTGGTGTGCCAGAATCTATGCCATTTTAAAAGACTGATTTTTAAAGACAGAATTTGATCTAGCAAAAAATTTAAATTTGGCGTGTTGAGTCACCTAATTTGAGGCTTTAAATTATGCAGTTGGGAACCTCTATATGAATTTACTTTTTTAAAAAAAAAAAAAAAGAAAATCTAAGACACAGAGAAAGCTATATATTCCCCTTTTCAACCTTGCAGAACTCTTAGGAGAATTCAGGAATCACAGTCAGTCAATTCCTACGATTAGTACATCCTATGGATAACACTAAAGTTGAAAACCCTCGCTGGGTTGGCACTGCGATGTTGGGGAAGGCTCTCCACATCTTGGTTTTGCCTCTTTTCCTCTGATGTGCTTATCAGGAAAGGAGAGACTTTCCTCAGGGAAAAGTGAGGAACATGCAGACTAAAGGTGATGCGTGTGTCTCTGCAATATTATCTAGTTTCTATATTGCTTGGGGAGAGAAAGCCAAGAATATTGTTTAGGCAGTAACTGGTTCTCCAATGCTTATCTCTGCCAGTCTTCTAAAGAGCTTGTAGAATGCAGATTTCTTCTCTTGGATATTCTAACTCAGCAATGAAAACATCTGCACTTTCACAACCATAAAGATAGTCACTATGTCACATTTTTAGAAATACTAACACAGGTAATTCAGTTTTGCTGTTAGGCCAATGATCATGGCAGCGGAAGGAGGTTCTGGGATTACCCAGGGTTAGGCAGGTTAGAGAAAAAAATCAGTTGTGCTTGGTTGGATGGATTTCCAACACTAAGATCCAAAGAACAAATTAAAGTTCAAAGTGCACCCCTCCAAGGCCTTTTTCACATAAGGATTTCTCAGTTCCCTCTTTAGCAAATTCCAATATTCCCAAATGGGATATTGAACATGCCGTAGGCAATTTGTCAAAAGAAAAAAGGAAAGCCCTATGAAAACTCAGAATGTTTTGGCTATCAGTAAGAACAAGAAAACTACAAACCAATGAGAATAAATGCCATGGCTATAACGAAAGTGAGAAGATATCCTCTCAGGGGCTCGTTGTTTTTCCCATATCCCTTTGCAAAGAACTGCAGGGCTTTGTAGATGTTGTCCTTGCAGAGCGCCTAATGGGAAAGAAGACGAGAAATTTGTCATTTATATCTATGCACAGTCATTTTCTCTAGGTGTTTCAAACAAGAAAACTTTAGGAAAGATTAAGCGATACACAATATGAGGCCTAAGTTAACACTGCCATTTATCATTCTCTGTGTTATTTGAATCGATCTTGACTATGGCAGACATAGCACTTGAGCCAGATGCAAACATTAACAGCATCAGAAAATGATGGAAAATGACTGCTGGCATGAATGAGCATTTCAGCTTCATCCCCATTCGGTGGGAACAGCAGTGTGGCAGAGTGCTGGTCTGTGCCTGTATTACCTGGAAGACTTTGGGTGCGCTGACCAGGGAGGCCAGGGCAGAGGAGAGTGTTGCAGAAAAGATTCCGGCAGTGATGAGAGGGCCAAACCCTGACACCATGCTCATGACCTGGAAGAGAGAAGTCCTGGTGAAAAGTGACCCATTCCATAAGCAGTTGAAAATAAAAAACAGCACTTTATGCACATGCTTCCTTTTTCACTTCCTGTGATTTGGGGTCTCTTCTATAATCAAATTGCTTTTCTATCTCTTGGGGTAGGGGATGTAGATTGAGAGATTCTAAACCCTAGTTCATTTTCCAAATGCCTGTAACTGCTGGAACTCAAACTGAAATCAGGAGCCTGGAGTTCCATCAGGGTCTCCCATGTGGAAGGCGGGGACCCAAACGCTTCTCCCAGAGTGGGTGTTAGCAGGGAGGTAGATCAGAAGCAGAGGAACCAGGACTTGAACCCTTTGCTGGATGTTAGGTACATGTGTCCCAAGCAGCAACGTAAGCTGCTGCCCAATCTTTTTGTTACTTATTAAATGCTAAATTCTCATTACAGTAGATCCAGAAGATAGTAGAAAGAATAACAAGAAAAAGGTTTGAAGGATTTGACATTTCCCCCTTCTTTTTGCTGTAGTTGTGTGTTGCTTTGATGATGAGACAGCCATGCTTTAGTAAGGCTTGGGAGGGGCTCAGCTGTTTACAAGTCTTTCAAGAGGCATTAGCCTTTGTTCTTGCTGCACATGAAGACCTTTCAAATCTATGTTTTTTCTTTGCTCATTAAACGTAATTTTAGATCTGAGACATGATGAAAAATCTATCAATTTAATTCCTATTTTGGAATAATGACTTCAGTCAAATTAATTTTTCTTTGTTGGTTGTTAAGACAGATGAATGAAGCCTTCATGACAAATTTACTTCTCTTTCTGTTCACCAGGCACACGGACAAATTAATATATTTCTAGTCCTCTAGTTTTCTCAACTTCCCTGGTTCCTTCTCCTTCATTTACCTTTATTTTCTGTGATTCAGTTTCCCTCCTGATTTTGTCTTCCAAGGTATGCCCGGGCCACCCCACAGGATTTTTCTAAGATGAAACCCACTCAGTGCTATTTATGCTGTTCTTTTCACCGTGAAATTTTGCAAGACACATACTCCCAAGCAGAGATCTCTCTTCCTTGTTGATGCGGTTCTTATTACTGCCTGTTCCCTCCTGTCACCCCCTGCTCATAGCAAATGGAACAACAGGATTTGCTCACTTGTGTGATCCTTGTATAATTTTTCATCTCCCTTACAAATTGTTCCTTGCTGAATGCAAATCAATCAATGGACAACTCAGTTACAGATTCAGGAATCTTAGTGTAGATGATGTTCTGAAAATGAAAAATCACTGGAATAAATCTTGTTTTCAATCCTAACCTGGAAATTGTTCATCAGCCCATATTGACATGGCTCATGTCGGCATCTGGAGAAGTCGTAGCCTAACCCGCAGGCTGCTGACCCATTGCAGTTCATCCCAGAAATGATGGTGTCATTCATGCTCCCTGTGGCATCTCTGACCACACACGCTCCTGTGGGAACAACCACGTTTGTCATTTCTTTACCAAGATTCTGTACCCTTTGGTCTCTCTACTGAAAAACATACTTAGTTGACATGGAATCTCCTCTGTTCATGGTCAGTGCTTCCTGGAGCTTCTGGGTCCTGGGAACACACCCTCTCAGTCCAAGGCTGCTCCTGGACTGCCTTAGGTGGCTTAGGTCCTACATCTCACTTGCTGCTATAAGAAAACTTGAGGGATGAGATTCTGTCCTTACTCTCTGATCTGTCAAGGTGTATGACAGGGTCATATTTAATACAGGTCGTTTTCATGGAAAGTCCATTTCATGAAAAAACATATGAATTAAAGTTTTGATGCAATGTATCTTTTTATTCCATCTGTCCATGAACCTTTTGAAGAACCTTTGTGCTTATGTATACTCAGTTCATATTCCTGGCTTAGGGCTACTTGATTGTTTCTCCAGTAGAATGATCCCTCTCTTCATCTGGGAGAGAATTAGGGGAAATAAATACAGAATTCCAATAATTGAGAGAATGAAGTCCTTGCTTTCAACAAACAATAATCCTTGCTTAATTTTTAAAACAGTTTCCATGTTGTATACAAAAAAATGGAGGAATAAAACATTAAGATATCATAGGTAATGCTAATATTAATCAAATATCTATTTCAAGTTACCCATTCCATTATCTTCACACATTTCAGTACATCTGTTATTGTTTATTATAAATATTCTAAGATGAAAATCTTTATGCATAAAATTTTCTCCTGTATTTGAAAATATTTCTCTGGGATACATTCTCAGATCTGGAATTATAAACACTTTAAAGACACTTGATATCTTATTCACTAACTTCTCTTAAAAACTTTTCTAAATGTAATCTCTGCTAATTACATTTTTGATAAGATTATGGAAAAGTATAACTACACAAGTGAAATATAATCACATGTAACTTTTTGAACTGCATAAAAGACAAACTAAATGCTAACCAGTAAAATTACTCGTTTTACTTTGACATCTCCTCCCTGGGGCAGATTCTTATTTCTTGCTAATCATCTCAAGGAAGTTCCCAATGATAGGAACTTACGAAAACCTTTAGTCTTGGCCATGGAATTCACATTGTTTGAACCTGAGGAAGATTTCAAAATCATAGAATCTTCAAGTTCAAAGAGCCAATATAATAATCAGTATAGGAATCCTTTTTCTCATATCTCCGAGAGATGACCTGATAGTTTGCTTAAACACTTGAACTTATGGATGTTGTTCTCATATCCCTGAAATTATGAATTGTTGGTCACTAAGCAAAACTGTCCATTTCAGATTTTACCTCTGTGCTGGCCATTCCTGTCCTATTCACTTTCTGTATCATATACCTACACAAGATTTCTACATTTATGCGTATATAAAGACAAAATTTTCAATCGTGAAGGTAGGTAGACAAAAAGCAGATGAACCTGAAATTGCATCTGTAATGTTACTCCTTTCTTCATTTTAACTTTGTGAAAATGAAAACCATTTGGGAAATTTAACTTCAGGTGATTTCAGTGTCAGAAAAATGTACTCATTTACTTTGGACAAAATCTCTTTATGTGTAACTAAATTTAGAAATGACACAATACATTTGACAAGTTTATACAATGTTCTCAAATAAGACACAATGAGAAAGGCAAAAATCTAAGTACTTTTCCTAGTCACCTTACCATAAGCCAGAAATCACTGGAATGTGCCCTTTGGTAAAATGGCCATCCAGGCTTCTTTTGGGCTCTAAGCTGCTGTTGTCTTCCCCGTTGTACCCAGAAAAATGGGGAAACCTGATTTCTTCCTCTCCTGTATAAATAAGAGGCAGTCCACAGTGGAGCCAAAGTCAGCCTAAGGCACACCAAGAGAAAACACGTATTTTCTGCTAAGTAAGAAGTGTGAGGGCTGGTAACCCAAACTGCCAGCAGCTGGAATGTGTGCTGATTTCCTGCCAGTTGGTAAAGTGACATTTCTAGCTGAGGGACAACAACGCAAGGATGAAATATAACTATACATTCCATATCTTTCCTGTCTTGCTAAGGTTGATTTTGGTTTTGGTTTTGAAGTTTGGTTTTGTTTAGGTTTTTGCTTCTGTTCTCTGTCAGTTAATTACCTGCTTTCCACGGCAAGGAAGTTGTGCTCTGTAAGTGGCAGCTCCCTTACCAATGGAATTGCCATTTAGATAAACAAAATGGGAACCCTGTTTGTGTCCTGGTAGAAGTACATTCTGATTAGTCCTGCTTTAATACTGAATCTGAAATGTCTGCATTCAAATTCCTGCATTTTATTAATAACTTCATTCAAATTCCTGAACCATCAAAATCATTGAGGCATCACAAGTGGAATTAAAAGTGTTGGTTTAAAGATATTCTTTGTAATTCACTGAAATGACAATATATTTGAAGAGCATCCCAACCTTTTGTAATTCTGACATTCTGGCACCAGAGGCATACTACTTACCTACACAAATAGCAACAGCTATGTAGGCAATAGTGGTGATGAAAATGGCCAGCATAGTTCCTCTGGGGATGGCATCTTGGGGGTCCTTTAAAAATAATACAAAGACAGAGTTAGGACAGGATAAATCATTTTGTTATTTTTGTATTTTCTGAATTTTTTGGCTCCCCTCCTTGAGTAGTTAGGTTTTCTTAAGAATAGATCAGGCAAAGTGGCAAGCTTGATTTCTTTTTAGATAAACACAAGTTGATCAGAATGAGTAAAGAAATATGTATTACTTACTCCAGGTAATACACTCACCAAGACCTTTCCCATCCTTTACCTCCTGGGGATTTGCTACAGATGGATCAGACCTTGAATTGTTAGGAGAAAATATTCCGGTATCTGGCAAATGGATGGTCTGTTTGTGTGTTTGTGCTACACTGCATTTAGGCTTGCCTTTAAAAGCATTACTTCTGACTTAGCAGAAGACGGATAACCTACTGAATTCTCCAGTCCTTCAAATCCCCAATATGGATTCTAGTTTAGCAATGACTGCAGAAGGAATTATTTAATTCTCATAAACAGGCATAAAGACGCATATTAAAGCTTACACCAGAAAATGGTAATCTCTCTTGCTAATAAATGTATGCATTCACTGAGTTGGCATCATATCCCATTAAATTCATCATTTTCTATCATATTTTGGATGCTTAAAATAATATTGAATCAATTTCCAAGGATAATATTGAATTATATTCAGTTAAACTTATCAGGGATTATTAAGTAATTTTGATATACTCATTGCTTATATATGCAGTGTCTGCTAGAAGTAGAAGTCAAATATGAAAGTGAGGAAATTACAATCTCCTTAGACCTTAGTCTCCTCACCAGAAGTCATGAGATTTGTCAATACAAATATACAATCAATTCAGCCAAAGAAAATTTGAGATTAAAGATTTTAAATATGCTTACCAAGTCCATCAAAAAGCATTCATGGTGGATGTAAACTCATTTTGACAGCTGAAAATCATAACTGAACCAAATAAATGTGGCCTCCTGGCTGGGGGGGGAAGCCAGCCCTGTGGAGGTACTCTTCAGTCTTTAGTTCCTCCCCACCCTTCTGGGAATAACTACCCACAGGGCTTGTTCTCGTACAGAGCCTTCCTTCCAAACAATTTTCTTGGAAAGTCAATGTAGCAGGTATGTGCGTTTGAGCAGCACATGAAAGGAAGAAGGAATCCTGGTTGAAACCTGTACCGCTCATTTCCTCCAGTGTTCATGCTATGTTTTGACAAGTGTGTTATAGATTAACAGTTTCTTGATATGTAAGTGAAATGTGAAGAACTATTTAGTAAGAAAAAAATATTTAAGGGTAAAGAGGTGTGAATAAGGAAGGCAGTTTTACACCTAAAATCAAAGACCTTTTCAGTTGCTCTTTTTATTTACAACTATCTACCACAAACTCTAAAATTGCCAAATGTAAATTAGATGAGAATCTAATTTTGCCCTAAGACACTAACATATAAACTGTATTGATGTATGACATTGTCTGGTCTAACTGCTCATAAACAGGGTTCAGGACTGTGACAAACTCTCGTTTTTCACTCTACCTGTTAGCTTTCATTCCTCAGTAGTAATTACACACCTAAACTTATCATGTTTATCCATGGGACAATGTTTAAAGTAACGTTGCTATTTGTTGATTAGATCGACCCATCCTAATGCTGCAAGTCTGAAATTGCTATTTAACTCTCTTGATTAGACTTGAATATTTCCCAAATCTTTCTCTTTTTAAAGTTTTATTTACTTTTATTGGAAAGGCAGATTTACAGAGGGAAGGAAATAAAGAGGAATCTGCCATCAGTTGGTTTACTTTCCAAATAGCTGCAGTGGCTGAAGCTGAGCTGATCTGAAGCCAGGATCCAGGAGCTTCTGGGTCTTTCATATGGGTGCAGAGTCCCAAAGACTTGAACTATCCTCTGCTGCTTTCCCAGACCCTACAGAGAGCTGGAGCAGGCATACAGCAGCTGGAACACAGGCTGGAATCCGTATGGAATTCCAGAGCTTGTAGGGGGAAGATTAGCTTGTTGAGCCACAACGTGAAACCCCAAATCTTATAGATACATATTTATAATCATCTATTAGTGATCTAATGTTAGCAAATAGAAAATTCGGGGACTTTGTAGCATATCTTCGAGTTCAGTTCTAACTAAACTCTCATTTCCACAGCATTAATTTAACACATTTATTTAGCCATTAAACATTTCTACTCTTATGTCCTGCTAGCTCCACCCTTGACCAAATCTGAGCTTCCTTTCCCTTCTCATCTGTGATTCCATGGAATCAAATCAGTAAATTGCAACCAGTGTTAGAGGAATACAGTATAGAGGTTGGTGTTGTGGCATAGTGAATAGATGTGCCTTGCCATGCTAACATCTCACTTGGGTGCCAGTTTGATTGCCAGCTGTTCCATTTCAGATGCAGCTTCCTGCTAATGGCCTAGGAAAGCAGTAGAGGTTGACCCAAATGTTTGGTCCTCTCTCACCATATAGAAGATGTAGAAGGAGAAAATATTTAAGGAAAACTTGGTGAATGTGTACTTAATTTGATTTACCAGGTTCTTTTCCTTCAGATTATACCGGAAATATACTCTTTCCATTTTCTCCTAACTCCAACAAAGCCAAACCTTTTGATACTTTCCTCTTCTAGGCCTTAATTCAGACCATGTCCTCTCATTCAGATGCCTGCGACGTGGTGTGACTGATATTTCTGCCTTCTGTCCCCAATTCTTCACTTTCTAATCTATCCTTCAGAAGCTGCTTGTGAGCTTCCTCTAAAACACTTATATGATCATATTACTCCTTTATGTAATTTTCTTAAGAATTCTAGTTTGTCTTGGGATAATATTAAAATTATATTGTTTATAGTTTAAAGAACCTTTGAGTTCTATTTATAATTACATAGCAGTGTAAAAAATAATTGTAAAAGAAGAAATATTTTTACTTGAAAAAATATAATATTTTTCTAAATATTGTACCTTATATATCTTGAAAATTATTATTGACTGGTCTATGTAAATTTTTTGTACATATACTCAAAATCAGAGACTTCTCTTTACACATTAATGCATGATAAAATTATTTATACTAAATGCCCTATCAGGCAACCACTTATTTGTGGGGAAGGGGAATCTAAGTCTTGTCTTTTTCAGCAGAGATAACATCTTCTAGTTCTCTGCTTATTCCCAGAGTTTTAAGATACAGAGGTTTCTTAGAAATATGTTAACATATTTATGAAAATTCTATGTATTGCAGTCTGCACATAAAAAATTCCCACTGGTATCTTTCTTTGTGCTTTTTTCCCCAGATGTTCCTCTGTTTGTCCTACTGACAAATGCTTACTCCACTATTGAAATCTGGATTGAGTATCACCACCTCTGAAAGCTTTCTGTGCTTTTTGGGGTGGGCCAGTGATTTCGATTTTCTCTTCTCCTTGTATATATCTCTTTTTGCTTGTTCTAATTCATAAAGTTAACTCTGTCTCCTCCTTCAACAAAGATGCAGAAGCTCTTTGCTTATCTGGTGACTGATGTGAGCAGATACTTAGTAAGTGTTGGTTAAGCTAAACTGACCTTGAGGCACTGGATATAAACTTGTTTCTAAATCTTCAAAGAGCACGGTAGTTTTTCATTTAAAGATATATCTGTAGTTTGCAGAAATTTTAGTCAATGACCTCTGGTACTTTCCTGAGAGTTGACAAACCAGAAACAACATCCATGGCTAAGTTTCATTATGTGGTAATATTACTTGCATCATTTTGAAGAAGTTTATTAAATTTTCTGGCTTTGGCATAATTTTTTTTAAACCCCCTGTCTCTGCTGATGTGTTTACTATGATACTATGAACCATTGCACAAATAAATCTAAACACTTTTTATATACTGATAACTATTTATCCATGTCTTTCTAGTTCTGAGGATACAACAATGAATAAAACCAAAAGCAAAGGCTTCGTTTTTCATTCTAAAGCAAGTGCTTCTCACTAAGAACCCTCCTACTCCATTCTTCTCACCTTTTAAGATTATCCAGCTGTATCAGATTTCTCTGGTTCAAACAGAAGATGCTTTTCACAATTTCCTTAGGTTGGACTGTTTTTATTATCTGCTGTATCTAGAAAACTTTTATATTTTCTCACCAATGGTTTTTAGTCATTGCTTCCCTAACTTAAAAATTGTTGTGAAAGTATCTCACAAGCTGCTAGGGCAGTTTATGGTGTGCATTTATTCATGTCCTCAGATGGCTCTTGAAAATACTTTTCTGTCTTCTAAAATTGATTATAACTTCATTGGAGTAAAAACTGTGTCTTCTACTCTTTCTATGTTGGCAGAAACTGTTTGTTGTCCCCTACCTTTATTAGTCTTAATTTTCTTCCTCTTGATTGTACAGCTTCCTAAAGTCTTATTTGGGCACATAGTTGTCCAGCTGGGTGCTACATTGCTCAAGCTCTTTTGGAAATGTGTAATATCATAATTCATAATTCTAAATTCTGGCTGACAGAAATGTCAATAGAAACAATACATTCAAGTTCCAGCATCCGTTTGTCCCTATTCATTCGTTCTCCTATGCACTGGAATATTGTCTTGGAAATGATCACTCTTCTTGGGCCTTGCACATGCGGGAAGCTCCAAGGTGCTGGTGAAACTAGAGAAATCCTCTGAATTCCTGGTATCACTTTTGGAGATCTTTTATTATTCCATTAGATGGGCACTGAGCTCAAATATTTACACATAGAAAAATAAACTGCCTCCTTCTTTTAGCCACTGTTAATAATCTTTTATATAGCATTCAAATAAAAGTCCCAACTAATAATACAATGCTTTTAATATGTACCATGAAATAGTGTAGGAGTGCTAATAATATGGTTGAATTTTTTTGTTATTTGCATGTTTATGAATGTTTCATGTCCTCATTCATTGTAGTTTTTTTTTTTTAAAGGAAAGAAATCTTCCATCCACTGATTCAGTTCTCCAGTGACTAACTCCCAGGGTTGGGTCAGGCCAAAACCAGGAGCCAGGAACCAACCTGGCTCTCTCATATGAATAGCAAGCACCCAAGCACTTGGGCAATCTTCAGCTACTTTCTCAGGCAGTTAGCATGATCTGGATTGGAAGTGGAGCAGCATGACACAAATGGTTATTCTTACAGGATGCTAAGTCTCAGCTTAACCCCGTTGCACCATAATGCTGGTCCCACATTATAGGCTTTAAGTAGAAAAGATGGTTCTGGCTTTTTTTTTTTTTTAAAGAAAATGTTAGCTACATTTCTTTTTTTTTTTTTCTTTTTTTTTCTTTTTTTGTAAATATGATACACTATCAATCTATTCTGCTCTCTGTTATCACTCAAAACTTCTGGAAGATCTGATATTGGAATCCAATTTTGGCATTTGAAGAAATAGTCAGAAAATGTTGCAGAAATCTTATAGTTTTGAATCTATAGGGAAATGTACTCACATTTAACCTCTATACCTCCCATACTGTCCATCAACTACAGCACCATTTCCCAGAACTACAACAAAGCAAATAGAACAAACATACCTCCAAGTCTCCTGAGATATTGGCACCAGCAAGTATCCCAGTGGCTGCTGGGAAAAAGATGGCAAAGACAGAGAAGAAGCCTTCACCCTTTGTGAAGCTTGGCCCAAAATTTTCTGCAAATATTGATGCTACAATACAGATTAAGAGAAAATTAGCATTTTTCAGTATTGGAGAGAAAATTATCATTGATTTTTATATTCCTATGTGGAAATACTCTTACATAGACCATCCTACATGGAACGACCTTGCAGGTATTGGTATACTCTTGATGGAGACTATGTTAATAGTTATCAAAAGCTAGAAGTATACATAGTACAGAATCAGTGATTTTTGTGTCAGCAAAGACCTAGACTGCTTGATTTTTGTGAATTTAAAATTTTCTCATAGCGATGCTGGCGTATTCTCTAGTAAACCATAAATACTCATATACCACCGGTCCCACACATATAAAACTGCATTACTAAATGCAGGAAAACCTTAAATAATAAATACCATTTACTGCGCTCTTTAAAAAAATTATAGGATCACTTTGTGGGGATGGTTATCTCTCATTTTTCTACTACTATTTGAATCTTTTTACTTCTCACACTCGCAGATTGGATTTTAGACCAAATTCTCTAATACAGGAGGGTGAGAAGTTTTGTTCATAAAATACTATAGTGAGAAGTTTTGTCCCGGTTGCCACCAAAATACTTAGATGAGAAGGAAACAATCCAGAGGGAAAATAGAAAAGAAAAACAAGGGAAGAAGAAAATGTGAATAAAAGTCTAAGATGCAAAAATGAGGAAAAGAGAAGAATAGACAGGAAAAAGATGTTGGCAGCAAAGCAAAGAGACAGGAAGAGGTGATAGGAAAACTAATATTGCAAAAAAAGTAAACAGTGAAGGAAAAAATGTAAAACCCAAGCAGTAAATTTTTGATAGGAAAGAGTGGGTAGGTAGAGTAGAATTGGAGAGAGAAGTCAAATGCCTCTTGATATTATCACAGGATCCTTGGAAACCTCACAGTGGAGCATGACCAGTTAATGCTTAGCACGAGAAGCTGCAGGGAAAGTCTGCCTGGAACCAAGAAATATCATGCTTGACTTGGGCTTTTTTAAACTGTGAGAGACAGAGCTAGAGCTGGGTTGTCTCTCCTTTTAAGTGCTCTACTTTTCTGTGGTAAAAATAATTTGCGCAGTATTAAGACTTATTACTCACTTCCATAGTCACCACCTCCTTTGGTTCTCAAGATTCCCTCAAAAATTTATTATCACCCCTCTCAGATAACCAGGAAAATGTGAGAATCAAACACAGTGGGTGATCCAATGTCCCTCAGATCCATATTTGCTCTTTCAGGAACCACACTGGTAATTTGATCACTGCGGTTTTGATGCTGGGATGGTAATAAAGGGGAACCATAGTAAATCATTTATCAAAAAGCAGTTAATTTGCCATATATACCTTGGTAGTTAAAGAAACCTCTGGATCTCTTCTCATTGTTAGATGGAATGACAGTTCCAATGAAGAAGTTTGCAATAGCAATGAGAAGAATGATCAAAAGAATCACTTGAGCCTGGAAAGGCAAAGTAAAAGAAGTTCAAATTAGATTCATTTAAAAATATACATGTCAATAAAAGTTCTAAGTGTCCATTGGAGAAAGACTCTAATTTTCCAGTTAAGACCCACCACCTAGAGTAGTTACATCCTTATAAAAGGACATCTTAGTAACTAATTCTACCTGCAGGTGCATGCTCAATGGAAGAATATGCTTGGGTTCCTCAAGGTGACATTTCAAGAACATTCTAAGTAATCAACTATTACTTTAGCCCCAGTAGCATAAAGGGAAACGAAAGCTTTAACACTGACAAACTTAGAGTTGAATTATTCTCTAGGCTACTCATCAGACAGAAATTTGCTATTTTAGCTAGTAGATAAATCCAGACATTTCCTAGCCCTAAAGGCTATGATGTATTTGGGTTTTCTGGTGGAATTCTGAGTTTCAGAGATGAATGGTAGTTTCTGTCTCTGTTAGTTTCCACCATTACACTTGCCATTGTTTGGGGGCTTCACAACCCACAAACAAGTGGGGAAGCCTTCATTTGTGACTGAGAGACATAGCCTCCTAATGTGGACTGCTGGTGTAATCATAAGGCCTCTGTGCATTGCAGATGGCAGCAACCTTAGTGACTGTACTACTGTGATGATAGCACCAAGAAGGACAAAACACAGGCGCCATCCAAACGTGTCAGCTATTGAGTCACAACTGCTGGGAATTAGTGTTTCGTAGACTTGGGGTTCCACCTGGTAGCAAATAACAGCAATTCTCTTTGAACATGGAATTTTTCTATCTCTGCTGTTTGTTGGGGGTCTATCAGTGGTTGATAACATTTTAAGAAATTCACCTTTGCTTCCCATTCCATCCCAGCGACTGAAATTCCCAGAAGAATCACCACTGTGATGGAACCTATTATTCGGATGTCATTGGTTGGATCCACCATCATTGAATCACTTTCCTAGGAAAAGAATCACTGACATGATTAGAGATTCAGCCTTTTGCATGTGTGTCTTCTTGTACCACTTATAATACCTGGGGTCATTTTGGATAACAAAAAGATGAAGTGTTCATAAATTTAAGAAAATTTTTAAAAATCTAGCATTATTTTGTTTCTTCCTTACAATAAGCCTTTGACAGTCATGAACAGGAGTTAGAAAGTTTAGAGATGAATTCTAATTATAGCTTTTGAAGATATAGTACACATTCAAATTCTGTCTGCAAACACTTGTTGCATTTTGTTTCAGAAGAATGAATGGTTATTTTTGAATATCAAGGGAATGCAAGGGGTTTTGAGTGGTTAATTTGAAATTAATGTGAATATTGAAAAATTAAATGCTGTTAAATATATAATCAGATCACAGAAATCTGATACTGCATCTCTTAACGATAAAAGATTATCTAAAGGAAATAAAACATTCACTTATTCATCTGAACTTCAAGTAAAGGTTTTTTCCAATTGAATTTAGTTAGTGCCAGTGTTATAAGAGGAAGACTAGAGGTTTGTTTTGATGAGGTAATCACTGTGACTTCACACATGCCCTTCTAGATGAGATAACCAAACTAGAAAATACCTAGTTTCCTAAAGTAGATCTTTCCAGTGTTCTAACTTTTTTTACTTTTGGAAATGCATAACCATAATAACATTTTTACTACTCATAGTAATATGCATCACTTATCTGATGCTTCATTTTCATATGTTACTTCATTTGACCTATACAACCTTTCTATGAAATATATACAGTAGGGCCCGGCACAATAGCACAGTGGTTAAAATCCTCGCCTTGCACGTGCTGGGATCCCATATGGGCGCCGGTTCTAATCCTGGCGGCCCTACTTCCCATCCAGTTCCCTGCTTGTAGCCTGGGAAAGTAGTCGAGGATGACCAAAAGCCTTGGGACCCTGCTCCCGTGTGGGAGACCCAGAAGAGCTCCTGACTCCTGGCTTCGGATTGGCTCAGCTCCAACCATTGCGGTCACTTGGGGAGTGAGCCTTCGGACAGAATATCTTCCTCTCTGTCTCTCCTCCTTTTTGTATATCCACCTTTCCAATAAAAATAAATAAATCTTTAAAAATATATATACACAGTAGTATAATGGGTTTATCTTATAGCCTTGGAAAACAAGGTCTAGATAAATAAGAACTGGCCCCACCAATCTCAGCCAATAACTGTGAGATCTGGGACACAAGGCCAGATCTTCTGATGCTGGCCCTGTAACTCCCACCACATTGTCCAGTTTCCTGTACTCATGCTGCCATAATGACATTTCCTAATGCCCTAAAACAGCAAGAAAATGGGGTTATCTTACTTGGCCAAAGACGACAAAAGCTTTTAATTACCTTAAGAAGATCTACCACAGTCTCAGCAAATCCCACCACATACATTGCAACAGCGACTGCATTGGCAAAAGCAAAGATCAAGCCTATTGACCCACCGAACTCGGGCCCTAAGCTTCTGGAAATAAGATAATAGGCCCCACCTGAAACAGAAATGAACATGCTTTACACTGAGGAACTACTAAGGGATGAATTTATGCGATCAAATGACTATGAACATCTGAGAAGATCTGAATTGCTAAGCAGGCTAATAAAAACCTAACTTCCTAATAATAGGAATCATATGTTACTAATAAACTATCCCTTCCTTGTACTCTGCAAAGTATGCAATAAAAGTATCTGATGTTAAAATTCAGTTTATTGAGACGTAAATGGGAAAAGATGTCGCAAAAAAGAAAGAAACCTCTTTAAAAATGTTTTATCTTTAAAAAAAATACTGGAGCATTAAAATTAATGATGCAACTGAAGCAAAATATCACATGAAAAATGTTTCAATGTCAGGCCTTGATTGAAAAAAAAATGATATAGGCTGGGACCAACATTGTGGTTCCGTGCATTAAGTTGCTGACTGAGGTACCAGTATCTCATTTGGGTACCAGTTTCGGTCCCGGCTGTTTCACATCTGAACCAGCTCCCAATTAATGTACCTGGAAATGCAGCAGAAGATGGCCCAAGTCTTTGAACCTCAGGAGGCTTCTGGCTTCAGCCTGATCCAGCCCGGGCTTTTGCATTCCTTTAGGGAGTAAACTAGCAGATGGAAGATTCACCACTACCACCCATCTCTTCCTCTTTCTGGCCAAGGAGCATTGTGTTTGGAATGAGCCCTGAAGGCTGGACACAGGAGTGGTTTACCAACTGGGGACCATTAGTAATTACTTTCTTCCCAGTGCCAGCTGGTGGCAGAAGGGACCAGAGAAGATCACTGCAGACGGGACCTGAGAGACAGTCCTAGTGCTTTCCCAGAGTGCATGGAAACCGAATAACTACTTTTAAGTTTTGGAGGACTAAGGTCAACATTCAAATTTCACTTTACATATGAAACCAACTCTAGACATGACTGCATCACCACAGCACGTAGTTAAAAGTAAAGTAATTAGCTTACCTCCTCTTACTACTCCATTTGTGCAAATAGCGGACATAGAAATACCTGTGAGTGTTGTCACTACCACACTCAGGCCAATGACGATAACTCCAAGACCTGCAAAATGCCCCAAGAAAAGTGCTTGACTACGGGACTGGGAGAAACCACCAGACCTTCAGGAGGCATCTCTCGGAAGCTTGTCTCAGAAGGATCAGCATTCCCAAGAAAACCTGAAATGTTCTGAAAGATTCCATTCCATGAAGATCTCCAAAGCACCTGAAATGTACTAAACTTTAAAACTGGAGCCATGTCCAAGAATCATCAGGAAATGGTGCCTGAAAAATAAAATGTTTACTAAGGAGTTTGTGTACAAGTAGAGCATGACCTGCAACGTACTAGAATTCTGTTAGAAAGGTGACCAGAGCTGACCAGAGTAGACTTAGACTGTACTCACAGTGCCTTATGTTTACTTCTTCATCCAGGACCTCCAAATAGTTAACCAGACTTCAAGAACATTGGGTAACTTCTTCCCATTAAAAAGGATTATACAAAAAGTTTTGCCTACCCGTAGCAAGTGATGAGGGCATTAGATATCTTAGAGTTTTTACCTCCACGAACAAACCCGTTAGTTGCTATTGCAGAAGTTGACAACCCAGTAATAGAAGTTACCATGGTAGAAAGAAGAATTATGAGAACTCCAAGACCTGTTAGCAATGAAAGATAGAAGATGTTATATTTTACTTTTCTGTCTTGCATTCCCTAGTGTTGCAAACTATACTGTCTTCAAGTTTTCCGATCCATGACTTGGGTCCCAACAGGGTTTCTTTGTGCTGAGAAACTGGCTTGATTGGCCTAAAGATCAAGTCACGGAGCTGCTCATTATGATGAAGCATGGTTTCCAAAAGTAAATGCAATCTAACTTGTAGCCCTGGAAAGGAAAAGTTGACTTATGCTCACGTCCTGGGAGAGAAGCTACTCTGGCTGTGAAAAGAGAAAACATGACATTTGACCTTCTCTCTTGCTTAAAAGGAACCTGAATGAGAAAGTTGGGAGTTTGACAAAGGTTAATCCTTCTCCATTTTTCTTGCATCCCTTTGCCTGCAGGGAAAAGGAACCAACCTGCATTACCTTTGAAATACGCCAGAAAGGTCAGTGGTGAGCTATTTGAGCTTGTGTTGCCTTTACCTTACAAATGATGTTGCGGGTCACAAGTTTAATTACCTCCTCTGACACATCCATTTGTGGCAATAGCAGAGGTGGATAAACCAGTGATACCAGTCACTGTCACGGCTAAGCCGATGATAATCACACCAAGACCTCAGTTGAAAGAGGAAAAATAAAGCCAGTTAAATGATGAACAAGGCATTGGGTCATTTACATAAAAGCCAGCAAGTCTAGGGTAATCATTGTAGGATAGCATTACAATTTAACAAGTTGGCCAGGCAATCAAGAAGAGAGTACATGTTCAACTTTTAGATTTTTGCCTATAGTAGTTTAGGTTCCAAGAAGCTGAAGGCCTAAAACACACAATGCTGGGTTGCACACAACCAAAGAGTTGTGGCTGATCAAAACATAGGGAATGTGACCCTCAGCTATGATGTTCTAGACACCCATGAGTATAATAGGTGATCTCTACAATTTCAAGCTTGAAATAGAACTAGAAATTAATTAGTCAACCTTCTAGGTAGCTGTTTTTATGTGCATTTAATTACATAGGCGCAGAACATTACATACAGCATATAAAATTGCTCATACAATAGATCGGTAAAGTGGACAGTATCAAGCTGAAGTATATTTATTTATTTATTGTGTAACCACTGGCCAATTAATCATTTTCAGAGTTAAAAAATCTTAGGGAAATCAGGGGGTAGGGGGAGAAGCATACTGCATGGAAAACATTACATAATCAATGATACTGCTTCTTGATCAAATCTACAGTAGTCCTTTTTAAAAGATATTTATTAAAAGCCTAACATAGATCCAGATGTGTAGTAAAGAATGTGAGAAATATAAGGACTTAGTACAATGAAATGGAAAATTAAATCTACCTTCCAGGTCAGGATGCAGAAAGACATTAATTAAATGACAGGTAGAAAGCAATAGAGGTCAGAATTCAGAAGAAGGCATGCCTACTTTCCACTTGGAGAACTTCTAGAGGACCATGATTATAGAAAAATAGCCTAAAATATAACCCTTGGATAGAAGTATTGTTTTGAGCTGAAGGCCAGTTGAAAAGCAGATACAGCAGAGGCTCTCTGGCTTTTCCTGTTTGGCTATATGCAAGACACAAATTCATAAACATGTCACCCTTCCTTCTTGTGAAGTAAGGGAAGAATGGACAATGTTAGGCTTTGTTAAACTGAAGGAGGCACCACAACACCTACACAGCTTCACTGTCCAGGGTTACCTTTCTTGAGTTTCTGCATTTATTTAACATCCTATAACTTGCCATCCTGCCATCCTGGAAACTCCTTTTTTTTCTTTGCGCTTGACCATTTATTCACAATTTGTTTACTCCTTTATTAAGATGATACACCAATTGATGTTCTAATCACCCTTTGAGTCACTCACCACCACTGAGTGCTCTCCTGTGTACACAGGGATGCAACCTCAGCTAACCTCTGTTTGTCTCTCAGAGATCTAACTGTTGTCAGGGTAATTTATAGATCCTCATTCTAAGATGGGTAGAGATACAGGTTCTTCTCCCCTAAAAAGCATTCTCCAAAGAAGATTGACTCAGAATTCAGGGAGAAGGCTGGAGTGGGGGCAGTCAGGGCTGTTAGTTCACCCTGGCTCCATGCAGAATATGTTGGACTGAGCAATTTTGTAAGACCCGTATGTGAGAGGAAGGCTCTATAATTATTGCTGGCAGGCTGTCTTATCTGAAGGATGATTAGAAGAGTATATGGCAAAGAGAGGTTATGATCTTTCTGGCTATGCCCCAAGAAGGGAAAGTAAAGGCAGCTAAAGGGTAGAAATGGAAATGAGGTACTAGAAACTGAATCTTTTAAATGTTTTTCTTTTTTATTTGACTTTTTTAATAAAAAGCCATGGGCATGAATTATCACAAAAATGATCATAAACTGGAATCAAATTCAGTCAAGCCAGAGCAATGATTGAGATGTTTCAGCCAATGGGGACTTTACAGAAGTTGAATATTTTGATGTGCTCAACAATACCCTACCTCTAGTGGGTATCTCTAGACTATATTGTCAGCTAAAAGGCAGTGGGAATAAACTAATTGTCTGGCACAAGCTGGACCAAATTACTTTATGCCCTGTAGATTCTTCCAAGTTTGGGGCTGTAAGAAATAGTTGCACTTTCATCTAAGGCTAAATACCACCCGTGGACAGTGTGAGGCCGGCAGAGGCCCCCAGCACGCCGGGGCCCAGGTCTTCCCGGAGTTGGGTTGCTTGGGAATGCAGCCCAAAGTGGGTGGTAAACTCCATCTAAGAAATAGTTGCACTACTACAGTCATCTTATCTCTTGCAGGGATCATGTGGTGATCATCACTTCTGTAACACTATGAGGCCTCAAATTCTTGTGCCACTAGCATGATACACTTATTGTTTGCACATTATTTTGCTCTTGACTTTATTTTGAAGAAGCTTAGTATCAAATGTTTAGCATGCCCCAAAGACTGTACAAGACCACCTGTTTGCATTTCACGACATTAAACCTAGGCTGATTCCATTGTCTCTCTACTATTATTTTACATTTGCCTCTATTTTCCCAGAAATTCTTCATCCATTCTTTGCATTATATGTATTTCTGAAATCTACTTTAAAATCTTGGGAATGAAGTTTTAAATAGTGAGTGATTTTCTTCACTTTAGCAATCAAACTTAAATTCCCAAGGTAAAAGGATGAAAGACATCACAGAACACTTTCACTCAGTTCATTGCTTTTCTAAAGTGTGGTCCTTAAACCAACCTGCTTCCTGAAATGCCAGAGATGTTTACTTAAGATGCAGAGGCCTGGGGCCAGTACTGTAGTGTAGCAAATAAAGTCACTGCCTGCCACAAATGGCTTCGCATTTAGGTGCCAGTGTGTTTTCACCCGGTCCATTTCCACCCAGCTCCCTGATAATGTGCCTGGAAAAGCCAAGCACTTGGGTTCTTCTATCCACCTGGAAAGACCTTGGCTTTAGCCTTGCGCAGTTCTGGCTATTGCAGCCTTATGCAGAGTGAACCAGCAGATTAAAGATCTCTCTCTGTCTCTTCTCTCTCTAACTCTGCCTATCAAATAAATTAATAAATAAGTAAGTAAATAAATAAATCTTGAAAAAAGAAATCCACCTAGAATTTTGATCTTCCATTTAATACAAAAATTATATCATAGATTCACTTTGTGGGGAATCAAGAACATAGAAGTTCAGGACCTAGGGCAATGACTCTCCTGGCTAATCCTCCTCCTTCAGGTACCAGGCTCCCATGCAGGCTCCAGTTAATGTCTGGCTGCCCCACTTCCCACCAGCTCTCTGCTTGTGGTCTGAGAAAGCAATGGAGGATGGCCCAAAGCCTTGGAATTCCATTCCCAAGTGGGAGACCATTGTAGCCACATGAAGAGTGAACCAATGGATGGAAGATGTTTCTGCCTCTCCTTCTCTTTGTGAATCTGTTATTCCAACAAAAGTAAAAATAGATCTTAAAAAAAAAAAGAACACAGAAGTTCAGACATGCCTTCAGATATTAACCGAATCTATCTCAACTTGTGTTTAAAAGATAGTTGGTAATTCTTGATTGCCTTTCTTCTTCAGTCACACTCCGAAGCTCCAGAAAACTAACCTGAAGGAGCCAAATGGTAAATTGAAAAACTGGAGCCAGTTCCCATAGTTTTCCATGTTTCATGTTTGGCAACGGCTGGGTTCCTGACAAAAGCCTGCTTGCTGGTTTTATGATGCATATCAAATGAATGCTTACAGCCGCAGGCTCCAAAATAAGTATATGCTGTTTCATGGAAAATCTGCATCTTAATATTGCCAAGGTTTTGCTCCAGGGTTTCACGCAAAATTAGGTTTTTAAGGGCAGTTTAGTAACTTATTGAGATCATCAAGAAACATTACTTTGTTTGGAGGTATGAGGGTAGCCAAGGGCAAGAGTAATTCTTTTTAATGCAACTTATTTAACACCCATATGTTTGGGCAATAACCTGAACTTTAATCAGATCCTACATTACTCTTCACAATCAATCCAGTTTCAAGTTTATTAGAAAATTGTAAAATATGACTATTTATGCTAAAACTTACTATACGGGCAAACATTAGTTTTGTTTTAATAAGAGTTTTAAGTAGTTAATTCATGTTCCTCGCAATGGCTATTCGGTGGATTTTCCTTTGAGTGATGGCTTGTACTTTCTTTTTAGCCGTCAAAAAAGAGATTTTTAGGGGGAGGTAGAGACTTCTTATCAATCTTACTCCATTTCACTGGCATTTGTTGTCAACATAATGCTAAATGAATTAGAGTCATAATTTGGGTTTTACTTTACTCCAGAAGAAATGAGTCAAATACAAGTGTTTACTTCTGACTTTGAGGGTAGTTTGGCTACACTTTCAAGCCCAGTTTGTGAAAATAGCCAAAGGAATCTCAAAGCAGTAGTAACATTAGCTACTTGGATAATCATTCTGGGGAATAGTTTTGGGTGCTTGTTTTACAAAACAAATGACAGAATGAGTTGATGATGGCATCTAGTCATTCTTGTCTATCATTGAGACCTGGGACAAGGTGGCTTCCTCTCAACCATCGGACAAGGAAGATGAGTGTTAAAAGCAGGTAAAGCCTGAAGGTAGTCATTTTTCCCGATGACTTTCACTTTTCCACATTGGCCGCTGCTGGGCCAGTGTGAACCCAGGAGCCAGGAACTTCCTCTGGGTCTTCCATGTGGGTGCAGAGGCATGAGTGTCCAGGTCATTCTCCACTGCTTTCCCAAGCGCATTAACAGGGAACCAGATCAGAATTGGACAACCAGGAGGACACAAAACAACACCAATAGGTATGCTGTTACCTCAGGCAGTGGCTTTACCTGCTATTCCACAATTCTGCCCCCTAAACATAAATCTTACCTAAAAGGAAGGTGCTTTTTATGTATCTGTACACCTAAAATTCTATTAAAGGTATAAACATTTACTTGAGCTTCTGCTTGCTTGATGAGCTAGAAAACTCCAGTCTCACAGGGGTTAACTCTTCATGGTAAAAGAGGCAGCATTGATGGAGCTCAAGTGCAAATTATTTCTGTGACTCTCTGTTCACATTCAGCCTGAACAGTGAAAACCAGTTGCTTCCTGTGGTTATACTTTATGTCCAAAATTAATTCTTAGGGGATCCATTGCTTACCAATTCCAGCTTCCCCAACAATCCAAGAGAGGCGGATGAAGAGCATGACTCCCCAGATATTCAGCATACACCTCACCTGCGGATCAGAGGAGTCATTGAAAGGAGACAGAAAGGTGACATTGGGCCCTACCCATTTGCCCTTGGAACTCTGGGACCCGGGCCTGGCCTTGTTGACAATCCCACTACAGCTTTGATTGATAAACATAGGAGCTTTCTCACCAGCACACCTTTGACCCATCCAAACTTCACAGCACCAGCTTTGTTTTCTTCCTCCTTATTTTCAGCAAGTTCCTCTCCAGGCATCCCCTCTCCATTAGCAACCCTGTCAGCGGAGCCAGGAGCCACTGCCACATTCTGCATTTTTACAAATAACAAAAACACAGTCATTGGTTAACTTTCAAAAGCAGATCAAAACTATTGACAGAAAGCTTTAGAATTTAAAAAAAAAAAAGGTCATATTCTGGTCATTTTGAAATTTTTGTTGTTTTGGGAGTAGATGGGCTTGTTTGGTGATTTAGAAGCAACACTAAGGCTGTCGATGGGACCTTGACCTCTCACCATTGAGACTATTTTAGATTAAGAAACATTTACCTGAAACAATGATGATAAATCTTCTGACCTCAGGAGAAGGATTTTTAACCAGATTTAAGGAAATAACACATTGAAGATTTTCTTTAAAAAATTAAACATGTCCTATTAAAATTTACAGGCAGTGCAGGCCTGTAATGACATTGTTCCTACAGAGCAGCTTCTCACAGATTGTATGAAAGAACTGCTGCACGTGCTCACATCACGTATCAACATTAAGGAGTCTCGCGGCTGACCATAGGAAGACTGGTAGAGTGGAAACCAAAAGTCAGTCCTCTAATCAGGGATTGAAACTTTTAAATGCTTGTCTGCCCTGTGGTCCAGTTTTGCAAAACAACTCTCCTTCTCAATATATGCGTACTTAGTTCAATGGGTGGAAGACGTCTTTGTTTCTTTCAATCCTTAATTTATATTCTGCATGAAACTGAAAAATTTCACATGTATCTCAGTCTGTCTGGTGCCTGCTTGTGTTCTTCCTCATCAGACCAGTTACTTGAGTTTCCCTAAAGCAAACTTTCCCGCAAGGGCTTTGAAATCATTGGGGAAGTCCCTTATATTCATCCTTTAATTACTGGCATTACAGAATGCCTTCATTTTTATTTAAGTGGTCTAAGTTGCTTTAAGGTTAAGAGGATATGCTGTGATATCACTAGCTAAAAACTCTTGGACAAGAGCACTGTATCCCTGTAAAATGGAACTGGTATTAAATAAGAATTTCACACATGTGAATATTACACAGGCTCTGTTTGGGAATGATTGAAGCTCATGTACTGGCCATACTCAAAGGCTCTTGTATCTTTGGGATTTGGCATACCATTAGTGTGTCTACTGCTAAATGACTCTAATTTGGGCCGTTTACTGCAAATGATTTTGACTTCTTATTTCTTTCTTACAAGACCCTCCTCTTTATCTGAGAGTAATGATTTTTCTCCACCTTTCCTCTTCCATGAGACATTGTGATACTAATGTAACACTTGGGTAACTGAAGTAGTGCAATGTGGGGCAGTCACGGAGTAACGCTGAAATAGGGTCTGCCAGGTAGGAGATCATTGATAAACAACATTGGATCCACAGAGTGGAATTTAAGATCCCTAATTTCAGTCTCATCCATTTTTATTCCTTTTTTTATTCCTTTTCCCTTCTCTATGGGACAGTCCATTTATTATTGCTTCCACTGTGCCATATATAATTAAAAAGGAAGAGAATGAATCCTAATTTTCATTATCTTATCTTCTGACAGTAATGGGGGAAAAGTGAGTAACAAAGATTAACTGAATGGTTAAAATTTACTTTTGAAATAGCTGAGGAATTGTTCAATCATAAGCATCCTTGGTCCCTCGTTTGTACAGATAATTGAAAGCTGGTATCATATATTCGTACCAGTGCAAGATCCTGGAAAACAAGTGCCAATGGTACTGTGGCTGAACTGTGAGGACCCCAATCAGTAACCAGTGCTAGCCGCAAAGGCTAAGTCATGTACATAATTCAAATTTTCTGGTAGCTGCTTTTCACCAAGTAAAACAGGACTGGTGAAATAAGTTGGGCTTAGATATAAACCTTTCAATTTAAATTACTCCTTGTAAAATACCATGTTTCTAATATTTGGAACATAAATATTTGTCAGTAGCATTGCACCCTGCCCTGTAAAAGTGAACTGTTTCTTTGTTTGGATTAAATGGGATGCCATGAGACACAGCTTTAGTCACATGTCTTTTAAAAAGTAGTACTCTGAATAAAACTCCTATTTTCTGATTAAACCTGTCCAGAATTGCTCTGTTCTCTGGTGAAGCCCACTGATGACTGTGACTCATAGATCTAGATGTGTAATACAAATGACTGTTACCACCCCCCTCCCAAACCCTACAATTAGGTTAAAAGATGAGATGGGGGTTTGCGATCACTCCATCAATGAACATTTGTTTGTAGAGGATACCCTTCCTAGTTAAGGTCTCATGGTTGTTTACTTGATCACTAGGATTTGACAATTTGATGCAAAATGAATATTCTGTAAGAGTATGACATAGAAACCATCATATATAGAAGTGAATTAAGCAATAATTTTGCTAATTTTCCAAAAATAGAGTCAATATAGGGTGCTTGATTCTGTTAGGTAAATATATTCAACCTGTTAAAGAATAAAAATTTTGAACCTTTTTATACCACAGAGGGGAAAAATCCTCGTATTTATATTTTCTTCATGGTCTAGTAAAATCAGATAGTAAAATTACAAGTACAGAAGCCATTCCATTACTTTATCATGTATGAACCCCAAATCCTGCATTGTATCAACAGGGATACTTGAAATGTGACTTTGACTATGCCATTAACTCATATATTTCCTCTAGCAATTAACCTCTTTGTGGATACTACCAGTAAGGGTAAATCCAGCGTGTTTTCTGGTTTAAACTGCCTTAAGATAAGACATTCTTTTTTTATCATCTTTCTATTCTCACGTGACAAAGCAAATCTTACTCTCACTGTTTAATAAATGCCTCTTTTGTAAGCCAGAATAGCAATCATGAGCTCAAGTTACCATGAAAGCTCTGCCCGTGAGTTTGGTTCAGAGGTTTGTGGGGACTTGAGGCCTTGCAGCCTCCTTTCTAGTGTATGTTCTTGACACTCAAGTCTCAAAGACTGAAGATTTTATGGTTGTAGCCTGAAACTAGTTTTTCCCTTCATACTTGAATTAATGTGTTTGTTCACACTCCATTACCATAAATTATGACCCATAGCCCTTCATAAATGCACTTAAAATTATATGGCTTTAGGGAATGATTACTTATTTACTAAGAGTTTTACCTGTGCATTAAGAATTCAAGGAAGATAAAGTACATTCAAGAAAGAATGCAAGACTTTTTGATGAAATATTTCCCTCTTCAATCCTACAAAATTAGTGAAGCTTCAATTATACACAGTTTAAGGTACACATTTCTAATGAGTTCTTCTAGATGATGAAACATTAAGTTGTTTTTATTTAATTAAAATATGAAATGATATTTTAGGCCTGAGAAAAATAACAAATATTTTTCTAGGTGTCATCAATGCATAAGAAAATATATATTCTTTAAATTCTGACTAGATATATTCTCAAATCACTACATGGTTTAAGTTTTGAGCCTTTAATCTCATGGTGGTAGAATTCTTAGACAATCATTGGAAAATTTTTACATAAATATTTAGTCCTATGTGGTCCTATTATTTTTAAGCATTTTTTGTTATTGAAATATTCAAACACAAAGAAAGAATAATGTAAGAAATATTACTTTCAACAATTATTAACATTTGGTCAATCTTATTCCAGTTAAACCCTGCCGCCGGATTATTTAAAAATCAATCTGAATGAGAATCAGACATTTTTAAAGTTTTAATCCAGAATAAAAACATGAAAATGAGAGGGCTTTTTGTTTTTTCTTTTTAAAGTTATTGTAAATTAAGTCTAGAAAGTCACAATTTATAATTATAGCATTTTCATTGTATTTGAAAGCACACATTTCCTAACTTGTCATAAAACTGCCACGAATTAACTTGTATTTTTGATAACTTAGGTCAAAAGTTAACTATCTACAATAAATTACCATATGAAAAATAAAATGCAAACATTCTTGATGTTTTTTAAGTATACACTTAAGGGAACTCTCATTCTACTTATTATTTACTACCGAACTATTTACAGCAGTCAGCTAACAATGTTTTTGTACTTTTCCACATACTATTTTATACAGTGACCTTCCAGAGAGATGGCCTTAAGGAAAAAGTCCCACTACGTATCAGAATGAAATCTTCATGGCAAGTATTGCTCCAGCTAACATTTTGGGGGTAACTTTCAGTTACCATGGGCCCTTTAAGCCATGACAACTTGTATTTTAATGTGTATTTTATTTGGTTGCTTTTAGTTTAGGAACCATTTATAGTCTTGAGGAGCCCCAATACAAATGTTACACTTTCAGTTTAGAAATGATTATGTTTTAGAAAACATATTTTTGCCTGTTCTTGTACGGAAGATTAGCATTTCATGCCTTGATTTACATGGTACAGTGCTTATTAACTGAACTACCTGTCCTTTATTTTAGTAGCGATCAAATCATTTTCACTTACTTTATCTCACCACTCACATAAATATCTAATAAATATCTTGAAGATAACCATGAAAATGACTGAGATCCACAATTAATTCTGTAGGGAAGCAATGCAATCTTTTGGTACTGTCCCAGAAACAAGGAGTGAACTGACATCTCCTGCTCTGCCCATCATGATCAAGATGTAGCTATCTTCATTGTGTCTTGTTCCACCGCACCTGATGGCTACTGAACAGGCAGAATACACAGACCGTGAAAAATGACCATGGAAAAGGCAGTGAACTTTGAAGGTAAGTAGACATAGATTCAAATTATTAACCAAATGTCTTTGGTTTCTTAACCATGGATGCTTACAGGCTTCTTTGTTTTCCCATCTGAAAGATCTGTACTGTTTTATCAAACCCATACCGTCTATAAAACAGCAATAATGATAGTCCCTACCTTGAGAGACTGTTATAAGAACTGAATGAGAATTTTACGAATGTTAGCACATCAAAAGTCTCAGTAAAAAGCTGATTGTTCTGATTGTTATTACACTATAATCGATATTAACACTCCTACACTCAGATTATATTCGATGGTTAACAGCCTGTTGATCCAAACATGAAGTTATTTCTGTGTGAATTTTTCGTTTTGTTTTGGCTTTGTTTGGTTTGAATCAGTTTCTGCCTAGCTTGATTCCTTAATTACATATTGCCATGGCTGGGGCTGTGGCACAATGGGCTAAGCTGCTACCTGCAGCACCAGCAGCCTGTGTGGGTACCAAGTTCCATTTCCGACTGAGCTCCCTGCAATTGTGTCTGGAAAAGCACCAGAGGATGACTCAAGTGCTTGGGGCCGTGCACTGATGATAAACCTTGATGAAGGTCATGGTTGGATGGGAAGCAGAGCAGCCAGAATATGAACTAGCACTCAAATGAGATCCCAGTGTGTGCAAGGCGAGCAGGTAGCCACTGAGCCATTGCTCAGGGCCCTGCCTCTCACCCTTTCTAAATCTGCTGTTCAAATAAATGAAAAAAAAAAAAAAACTAAAGAAAATTATATATTTCCAGCTTAAATTTGATATTATTTTGTACTTTTATGATGGTTTATCTCAGAGACCTTACGACACATGACTTTGATAGAAAGGGTGTGTATTTTTGAGGATCTTTATATTTTTCTGAATGTTGGTTAGTATGGTTGTAACACAGTTTCACTTTGGTTAGGAATTGTGTGTGAAAAGATGGCCACATGACTTAAGCTCAGTGCTGGAAGCAGAAGTCTCTTTACAAAGAGAGGAGGGGTCTCAAGTGGGTGAAAACATCAGGGCACAGAATAACACATGCCCCATATATGTTTGAAAAAAAGAATGCAGACAGTTAGGAAGATATAAGTACAGATATTTATAAGCTTATGTGTACGTGTGTATGAACCTGGAAATTTTTGGAAGGACTTAAAAGAAATTATCAATAGTGATTGCCTTAGGGAGAATAACTTAACTTTAATGTCCCATGAGAGACATTTCATTATGTGTTTTAAATACATATGTATGTAAATATGTAAAAATATTTACATTTAGTACCTGTTATTTTATCAGCATATGTTTTACTTTTTAATAAAATGTTAGCATAAAAATCACCACCATGACTGTAAATAGTCATCTGTTGTGTTCTTGTTCATTGTGTTGGATGTACTGGACTTTGTCGGCATGTAAGAAGAAATTAGGTAGCTTGCACAATAGTGCAGAGCACATAATGTACAGGGTCTTTTTTCTGCTTTTAACAATAGTATTTAGAAATCCATGATGTAGAGCCTCCAGTATAGCTCTTTACCACACAGAAAATGAATAGCATTTCTTCAATTGCAAACTCAAACAGTTGAGATTACAAATTCTGTGGATAACTATCACCACTAAAATTTCATATAAGGTAGTGACCTAAAACAATGTGTTTCAAGTGTATTTCCCATTTTACCTGTTAGGACAATACTGTGAATTTTTTCCCATTCATAAATTATAATCAGAATGTAACCTGTTCATGACTAAACATATTATGCTTTTGAGTGTAAATGAATCGTTGCTGTAAAAGTTTTAAAAAATGCTGCCCAACTTGTATATTCCAGTTTCTTTCCAGGACCAAATTATTTAAATAAACACAATTTAAAAAATATATATAGATACTTACTTGAAAGGCAGAGTTTACAGAAAGAGAGAGAAGGGAGAGAGATATTTTACATCTGTTAGTCCACTCTACAAATGGCCACAAAGTTTGGGGCTAGGCCAGGCCAAAATAAGGAGCCCCAAGCTCTATCCTGGTGTCCCGTGTGGGACCCATGGTGTTTTAACAGGGAGCTGGAATGGAAGTGGGACTCTGGGACTGGAATTGGCACTCTAATATAAACTGCAGCTGATACAAATTAGAGACAATGTCAGTCTCAACACAAATACTGTAATTTATGTATTTTCCTTAATCCAAAATCCATGTAGTAGCGCTGTCTTATTAAATAATACTTGCTTTCTAATTGAAATTTAAACAGCTACCATAAAAATATCCAGGGCCACAGGGATGTGGCAACATAAAAGTATCACTGGGAGACCTTCAACTTCATCTCTTATGTTTTGAGGGTGGATGCAGGGACATAGCTGAATGAGGCTTGCTTTGTTCAGGGAAGATAACCTGGAGATTTGCCCATCTTCGTCTCGAGCCTAAACAGCACTTAAGGACAGTGGAGACAGTGTGGTGCCTTCAGCTTCAGCAGCACTGGCTGCAGGAATGTGCTTGTTGTGGGCGCTATAGTTCCCTGACTGAAGTCTGCTCACCATTTGGCAACATGGATATGCCTACACGATTGACTCCTACAAAAATGAGAGTCAGGTTCATAAAAGCAATAACTTGCCACCATACTTATTCAAGAAAATTACACAAAACATTGACCCTACACCTAGTTTTTAATGTATTTGATTTGCCATTCCTTTGTGTCTGAGAAAAAGAAGGCTTTACGCAAAACAATTAAAATCTCAAAAACGATGCAATATCACAAATAGCTATCAAATTTGTCAAGTGTCCCTATCACATTCCTACTGTGTGGTCATTCAAATTGGCTTTGAGGCATTTCTCCTTTATTTCAAAATTTATGGAAGCCATGATTTTCAAAGCTAGAAAAAAAGCTGCTTTTTTTTTTCAATTAAAAATTTGAGTCCTAGGAACAACATGAGTTTATTCCATTTCCTTTTAATGGAGTTAAAATTTTATTTTGTTGGGAATTAAGGAATGAGATGAATAAGGATATTTAAGTCTCAATACCAATTCTCATGAAAGGATCTGTTCGTACAGTTACCACAAGTAATGTGGTAGAGTACCAGCACAGTATCCCTACAATGGGTCATCATTCAATTAAAAAAAATTTTTTTTTTGAGTGAATGGCAACAGACCTGTGACAATCATTCCTGTGACTTCTTATCAAAATCTAGACAAGAATAAATTACATTTGAGTATGTGACATCCAATTATTCTTCATAGCAAGTAATCATATTCCCTCAAGAATGATTTTATTCAGTTATGCTCCAGAAGAGCAGAATATAAAGTCATCAACATATTTTAGAGAAAGTTATAGAGGAAGAAACTCAGTAAGTTTCCAAATGATGTGCTGTATGATTAGAAAAAGTGCTGCTTGATATTACCAGCAGATTTGGGAAGCCTAGCTGTGTTCCTTCAGTACTGAAGAGTTTAGCTATTTCTGCTGCTTCTGTAGCTTCAATTTAATTTTGTTATTTTTATATGTCTAGGTGCACACAGAAGCCTCAGGCAAAAAAAAAAAAAAAAAGAGTAAAAATGCTGAATCTTATCAATCTCTGCTCTCTCTTTAAAGAATATAAAAACACTCATGCCCACTAAAGGCAGGCGCCCACAACATTAACTACAAAAACACTTTATTTCTTTGTTTTACTTTTGATCGGATGCATTAAACTAACTAGCATGTTTAACCAAGTGTGAACTGAGCAGCCTATAATTGCAAAGCAGATGTAATGTATTGCCTAACTTACAGTTAATTCTTTAGTTCTCTATCCTAAGTCTGTGTTTGTGGAGCATTTGTTATGTAATTAGGTTTCCTGGGGACTAGGGACAGTTAGTGAGCTCTTCCTTTGTTTTCTGTTCCTAGCGTGATAAAAGAGGAGGGAATGACCCGAAAGAATAACCTAGCAAGGAACTCACCTGCCCCTCTCCAGCTTACCTTTGCCAGTTGTTCGTGGATCTCCAGCAGGCTGGGCCGGGTCACCTTGGGCCCACTGACGCTGCCCGTGTTGCGATAGTACTCAATCTTGGGGACAGCGTCCACGGTGTTGTGGCCAAAGGTTTGCAGGTAGTAGGTGTTTGTGTGAGAATCATAAGGGTGAAGACTGCCATCTGTTTTGGTATTTTCTCCGCTCTGGAGAAAGTTATCATAGCACTCCTGATTCCCAGGCCTAAAGCTGATTCTGAGTCTGTTTTGCTCGTCCCCAAAGGAAGTTTCTTCATAATGCGGTGGGTCGGCGTTGTCGGTGCCGCCCGCACTGCTCTCATGGCTCTCATTTATGACATTCACTTGAAAGCGACTTGTATGAGTGGGCCCTGAATCCAGAAATACGTTGGAAGAGTTATTCAGCGACATCTTCCAAAACGGATTTTTGGGGTGGGATTTTTTTTTTCTTTGTTGTGTGTCTGCTAAGTTGTTTGCTTTATGATATTTTTAAAAATGGATATATTCCTCCTCAAAAATAAGCACTAATGTGCTTATTTTAATGTAACGTGGTTACATTAGGAGGCTGTTGGATTTTTTTTTTTTCTAGCCAAACTCAGTAAGTGGATTCTTGATATATTGTCTTCTGTACAATCTTCAGAATGTTCTTCAAAGCTGTGGTTGAAGAAGAAAATTAAGCTTGTTCTAAATAGTATAAATACATTTAAGTAGGGATGGAGGATGTGGCAATAGTTTACTTTTACAAGACATACAGTTTTAAACTCACTTCACTAAAAATTACCTGTCCAAGAACCTTAGCAATAAAAATAGTAAATAACTGGGGCTGTGTCAACAAACAGAATTTCCAACGGCACCACTGAAATGTTAGCTCTGTCTGCAGGACTCATTTGGAAGCAGTGCAGTTGGCTTCAATATGACTTTCAGGAAAGATGTGCTCTGCTAGTTGAGAAAAATAAGAATTGATGAGACTGTTTTAACCCTGAACCGCCATTAATCGGCAGTACTAAATTCTGAAATGGCAGCCCATTTAATAATCGCTAAGAATGCATTAAATTTATAGAAATTATAAAAATTTAAAATGTTACATTGTTGTTAGTTTGCAAAAATCTGTACATACCTTCATGATCTCACCATAGATTCATTTCAGGAATTTTGTTGTCTACTCAACAAATGATAATGAGCGTTTTAGGGTGAGAATTTTTAAAAGGCATTTTGTCAAAATGATGTCTATGTAAATTCTTGGAGCTTCTGACAACATTCAAAATGTTTCATTTGCTCATGTATCTGTTTGGAAATGTTACTTTGAAACATTTAAAATATCAGTATTTAGGATAAGAAAATAAATTATAGCCATTAATAATATCATATTCTATATTTAGGTAAAATAAATATGATCTACTGGCTCCCTTTAGTGAAATATTCTCAACATTTGAGAAGTTTATATTTGACTGTAAGATGAACAAACTGTATAATAACTTTCACACTCACATGCCATAAGCTCATTTTAAAACACTGTGTTGACATCATAAAATTTGGCTTTTCAAAGAAAATTCTAGAAAGAGGAAATGAATACAAGCAAAAGTTTCCTTTCTCTTCACTTTCTTAAGCTACTTCTCTGATTAATAATAATAATAATAAAACCTGTTTCAACTCTTGACCTTTTTTATTTTTTTGCAGAAATCACAGGTGAAACTTAATTTTTTTCATTTTTGCAAAAGCATATTACTCTGCAGTCCTTGACTTCCTCACCTTTACTCTTTTCCTGAGAAGCTACATTAGAACATTAGAGGAAGTGAGACTCCCATTCTGCATGCAGTTGTGTAACTTACCACTGCAGAGTCTTCTGCTGAAGAAGCCCCTGCTGCAGCCTCACACAGGCACATATAAGTCATTGGGCTTCTAGCTCAACATGTTAGGCTCCTCCCATTGGTTAGGACCCTTCTTGAAGGAGTTAGCTTTGCAATGATTGGCCTGGAATAGTGTTATACTCCCCACACTGCCATCAGCCCCCAGGGAATGTTAAGTACCACATCAACGAATAACTGCTAGTGAAACATTAATCCTTTTAAGCAGGAAGTAAACACCATTTCTTTAATTTATAAGGAGGGCTGGATTGCTCAACACCACTCCTTCCAAAAACGTGATCACTGCTGCCATCTTGAAGGGCCAAGTTGAGTCCCACAGTCTCAGGATGAGTCCTAGCATCCTGTCTTCAGCATGTATACCAAGGAATTGACCTCCAGAGATAAGTTCCGTATTTTGTTGTTAGACAATGGTGTCAGAACTTACTTTATATTGCTTATACCATATCCCTCTGACTTGTCTTCATGGGGTCTGAGAAGATTGAGAACAAAGTCAATGATCCGTAGGTTTCAAGCATGAATCAAACTATGGGTAAGTTTCCTAGGTACAACCACATGACCTGGGCTGTACCAGAAGTACTTGTATCAAACCAGATTTTGGAGTTTCAGTGAGGAACAGGTTATGCTTGATTGTGTAAATTGCTGATTATTAAGACAGCATAAACAATTTCTCCCTGCAGTTCTACCATTGGTTTTCCATCAATATGACTGAACGAGTGCTCCTTACAACTTGAAAGAAACTACCCATGTGTTTTCCAGTTGCCAGAGGAGTTCACTGCTGGTATAATGTAGTAGTTAAGAGTAAAACTCTGGGCCCAGTGCGGTAGCGTAGCGGTTAAAATCCTTGCCTTTAACAGGCTGGGATCTCACACGGGCGCCAGTTATAATTCCAGCACCCCTGCTTCCTATCCAGCTCCCTGCCTGCGTCCTGGGAATGCAGTTGAGGATGGCCCAAGACTTTGGGACCCTGCACCCATGTGGGAGACCTGGAGGAGTCTCCTGGCTTTGGATTGGCTCAGCTCCAGCAGTTGCGGCCACTTGGGGAGTGAACCATGACCGAAGATCTTCCTCTCTGTCACCTCCTCTCTATATCTGCCTTTCCAATAAAATAAATAAATCTTTTTTTAAAAAAAAGTAAAACCCTGGAGCTAGAATCTTGAATTAATATCCTGCCTCGCCACCTCCTATTTTGCATGAACTCACACAAGTTATTTTCTTATTGGCAAATGTAGATATGGATACAAATCTACGTTGTAGAGTTATTCTGAAGGTTCAATGAATTGATTTGTTGAACTTAAAATAGGACTACTTTGTGCACAGTGCTAGTTTTTGTCATTGTAGCAATATTTGAAATTGGCAGGTGACTTTTATTAAGTCACATCCAGGGTTTTGAGGCCAGTCTTTAGAGATTGGGAGGGATGTTATGCCTGCTAGAATCAAGGGAAAGTTTTGCTGAACAGGTATATATTACAGAAAAGGGTCTGGAGATGATACCTGAGTAAAACCTCTTAGATGCTCTCAGGGAAATACCATGCTAGTCTGGCAAATGTCATTGGCTGTATAAGAAACAGGGACAAAATTACAACCGTGCAGCTATTACTGAATGTCCTCTGAAGTGCCATCAATATGATTTTTTTTTCTATTCAACAAATGGTTATGACTTCCCATATAAGAATTTTAGGTTTATGAACTAATTGCATTTCAGGCATTTCAGACTTCTCTGGCGGGGTTGTTGGTTCAGATCTTGGTTGGAGAGAGTGGGAGTGCAGCTGGTGATACCCAAAGCAAGTTCAGTTCATAAGACCAGGTCAAGAATTGTGAACTGATATCTGTCACTCTCTTTCAGGAGTTAGTTATCTAATTCTGTAACTTTTCTTCTCTATCAAAAATAATAAGTGCCTCTGATACCAATAAATTTCTTTTTTCTTTTCTTTCTTTCTTTCTTTTTTTTTTTTTTTTTTTGCTGACTGCATGGCTGAATACAGTGTAGGATGAATTAGTTTTAGTCTTAGTCTTACATCAGCCAGACATTTTAATTCTATGGCTTTTATCTCTGTGAAATGAAAGTCTTTGTTCTCTATTAAGGGGACTCAGACTTGCTGGAGTAGATGGGAGGTGATTTGAGGGATATGGAAGAAATTATCCCATCCGTAAAGTCAACCATGAAAGGTGAACCCGATTTAGACTCTTTAAAAACCTGGATAAAACAGGCCTGACATGGTGACCTAGTGGCTACAGTCCTCACCTTGCACACACTAGGATCCCAAATGATCTCTGGTTCTAATCCTAGCAGCCCCGCTTCCCATCTAGCTCCCTGCTTGTGGCCTGGGAGGGCAATTGAGGATGGCCCAAAGCGTTGGGACTGGAAGATGTTCTGGGCTCCTGGCTTTAAATTGGCTCAGCTCCAGCCGTTGTTGCCACTAGGGGAGTGAATCAGTGGATGCAGGATCTTCCTGTTTGTCTCTCCTCCTCTCTGTATATCTGACTTTCCAATGAAAATAAACAAATCTTAAAAAAAAAAAAAAGGTAGGTACAGTAACAGGAGCAAGCTGTTTGGAGGTTCGCATCACTGCCTTTTCTCCTATTCTTTATGGTGAGGCTCTTGGGAGGGGGAAACTAGGAGCAGATAAAGGGATGACATTGGACATCTATTTCTAGAAGGGATAGCATTTTATGAACTTTCCATGTTGTATCCATACTGTAACTAGTCTTTTGCATTTTTATATTGTTTCTAGCTTGAAAAATACATATGATAATCCTGTTTTCCCTCAAAGATCTAACACATACAGTAAATCATGAGTGGAAAGCATGAATGGAGATACTCTTATTGAACAGAGTTTCTCTTTAGCAGCATTGGAAATAATATTTCAGTAGCGTTAACATCTAAAATGCTTGTTGGAGTTGAACTCTTGGGAAAAAATGCTCACATTTCATTCAATTTTTTTGCTTTTGCTTTTTTTTTTTTTAAGATCTCTTTTTTCATTTCGAAGTAAAGACTTGGTATTATGATTTTCTAAACAGAACTGAGGGTCTGTATAAGTGTTTTCTCGAGCAGACAAATGCAGTGAAGTTTGGTTCACAAGGAGATGCCTGTTGTCCTGGCATATCCAGCTCTCATCAAGTTCAGTGGGATTCGGAGCAGTAATGTATCTTGGGATAAACTAACATAGGTAGTCAGGATTTCATAGTTTTATAATTTTGGGGTTTTTTTAAGATTTATTTTATTTTTATTGGAAAGGCAGATATACAGAGAGGAGAGACAGAGAGGAAGATCTTCTGTCCGATGATTCACTCCCCAAGTGAGTGCAACGGCTGATGCTATGCCAATCCGAAGCCAGGAGCCTCTTCTGGGTTTCCCACGCGGGTGCAGGGTCCCAAAGCTTTGGGCCGTCCTCGACTGCTTTCCTGGGCCACAGGCAGGGAGCTGGATGGGAAGTGGGGCTGCCGGGATTATAACTGGTGCCCATATGGGATCCCGGGCGTGCAAGGCGAGGACCTTAACCACTGCGCGCCGGACCCTAGTTTTATAAATTAAATTTTAGATTTTATAGTTTCAGAATTACAGGATTTTGTATTATTTTTAAATGAAGATGATGAAGACTTAAGAGACTGAATAAAATACATTACGTCACTTCTTAGAGCTGAGAATCTCTGTTACTTCTCTAATGAAGAGAATAAGTTAAGAAAACAGGGCCCATTTAAATGTGCTTTATAATTTTCAAATTGGTTTAATATTTATTTTATCTTATCTATCCTCCCAACACCCTGTACAGGATGGGTTTCCTTATCTGAGTTTTTTTATGTGGAAAATATGGAAACTATGTAAGTCATAAATATTTTTTTGGGTAGGCCAACATGAGACTCAAATTTCTGAATATAAGCTCCGCTCCTTAATCTGAGAGCTTTTTAATGTTCTCTTAAATCCTCATTCATCCCAGATCTCGGAGTTTCCAGGTATGTTTGTAGTATTCATAGCTACACTAGAATTAAACGATGTAAAAATTAAAAAAATTAACCAATCCTCTGGTTAGTTCCCTCACTGAAGTCCATAGAAACTAGATGACTTGCCCAAATTTGTGTAGCTCTATTAATGGCAAAACTGGGCCTGGACTTGCCATCTCTGGAGAGTGCTGGAAACTCATTTTAATGTTTTTGATAATTTTGAAATGTAAGAGAGAGTATGTGGTTACTTTTAGGGTTTGTATGTTAGTTTTGAGTTTGTTTTATTTGCCAATCTTTTTGAATTTTGCATATTATTAAGAAAGTGATATTCTGTTTATTCTTTGGATGGAAAAATTGAGTCTCTCATGGTAAGACATGAATTATTACAGCTAAAGGGGCCTGTATCTGGAATATAGAAGGGTGCCTGGACTTTTCCGAGGACAATCTGGAAACTTCTAGCATAGCTCATTAGGAAAAGAAAGGAAGCAAAGGGGGTGGCGTTTAACTTGGTGGACAAGACACTGATTTAGGTACCTTGTTCAATGTCAGAGAACGCACGATACCAGCTCCAACTCTTGATTCCAGCTTCTTGCTAACATAGACATCAATAGACAGTAGTAATAGTACAAGTTATTGAATATCTGTTACCATGTGTGGAATACCTGGATTGAACGTTCACCTGTCAACTTTGGCTTTGACCCAGTCCCTTCCAGCTGTCATGGGTGTTTTACAAGAGAAAACCAGAGGATAGCATCTCTCTCTCATTCTTTGTGTATATGTGTTTTTCTTTGTTTTCCTGGCTCTCAAACAAACAAATAAAATCTGAAAAAAAATGAAGGATAGATTAAAGGCAAATTTTGAAATAGATTATAAGTGGCTTCTATGTGGGGTTGACATCAATACAGGAGAGAGGCAAGTGAACAATTGCACAATTGGTTTATCATTTACACAGCCTGATGGATAAATAAGTCACATATGTTTATTAAATTTAGTGGATGAAGTCTGCGCCCTCCAGCACTCTCAACATAATTACAAATGAATTCATGATGGGTCCCAATGGCATAACTGTAAAAACCGTAAGGCTGGAACTCATGCAAGTGCATATTCAAATGTCCCTTTGTCAAACTCTTCAACTTCATCTTCCCACGTGGAAGAAGGCATGCTGCTGTAAGGGTCTAAAAGAATTTTGAAGCATCTGATGATAAGGAGTCCCAAGAAGATACACAAAATTCCGACAAAAGCAAAGCCAGTTTTTTGCTCCAAGGTCAGTGAGAAAGCTGAAACTTCGCTGACACTCATCTTAGCTGAAGAGTTGTCACAGTAGATGCTACTCATTATTCACTGGCACATCGCTGTGGCTCTTGAGAATTCCTGCTGGAATCAATTCTTGGCCTAGGTACAAAGTTAGACTTGTTTTAGTTTTATCTGTATTTGGTACTGGGTGTGAAATTGTTAACAAAAGACGCTTGAAAATATCTTCAGATATGGACTAGAATCAAATTAGCACTGGAGATGCCATTCCTACTGCAGTAATTACAGAACACTATTGTGGGTATATAAAGTGATTACCATAACCGTTAGATATAAAGTCAACTATGAGGGTGACCATTCAAATACTTAACCCTAGGGCTTTTGATTCCTTAGTAGATAATTGAGTCACTGTTTCTTAACTTGGAATTGACATGATTTTCACTTTTTTTTTCCATGTGTAAGAAACACCATAAGCAATCATAGAGTTTAGCATGTTCAAACTACTTAAAGTGCGTACTTCAGCGTCTGTTTCCAGTGCCATTTTGTCTCATCCACATTCTGATCTTGTAAATGCATGTAGTACCTTCTCTTTAATCACCTTAGCTTTTAAATTTTATGTACTTGCATTTATTTTTCTACTACCACTCACACACAAAATGTGAATTTCTTAGAGTGTTGTATTTTTGAGATTATGTTAACATAGGCATCTTCCAAGTGATAGGCAGCAATAATTGTGAACCATTAATTACCTCTCTGCCATGTTCATTAGCTTCTGGAACACCCTAAATAAATATAAAATCCAAGTTAAGCAGCATGTTTTCTCTGAAAATTCAGCTTCAAGACAAACTGCTCAGTCTCCCTCCTAACCACATTTCTACATCTAAGCTTCTATTAAATTGAATTTCTAAATCTGTTCAGAAAGTACACAAAACTGTTTTTGCTCTTTCATGTCTGAAGATAATTAAATAAATCACTTTGAAGCAGGAGGGGAGGGGAGGGGAAGTTGAGAAGTTTTATTAAGATCTTAAGTCTGTATTGTGAAATTTGTTCACTTTATGTAAGTAAAACAAGTAGTATGTGTTAAAAATAAAAGACACTAATTTCCCTTGTAATTTTTTTCTCCTTGTAATTTCTAAGCAATCATATTCAGGAAAATTTTTAATTTTTCATGTATTTCCAGAATTCTCCCATGGTTGATTTCCTGTTCTATTCTATTATGGTCAGAGATATTTGTTTTGTATGACTTTGAGTTTCCTGGTTGGCATTTCTTGAAACTTGTTTTGTTCCCTAGTGTGTGTTGTATTCTGGGGAATGTTCTGTGCCCATTCTATGCAGTTTTGTATTCTGCAGCTGGTGGATAGAACGCTATGTAGATACTGTCTGTCCATTTGAACTGGGATACAACTTAAATCCAAAACTTCGTTGTAAATTTTCTGCCTTGAGGATTGGCTCATGGATGAATGTCCCCAGCCACTGCTAAGCTGCAGTCCGTGTCTCCCCTAAAATTCTTTTTTTTTTTTTTTTTTTTTAGATTTATTTTTATTATTTTTTTTATTGGAAAGGCGGATATACAAAGAGGAGATACAGAGAGGAAGATCTTCCATCCGATGATTCACTCCCCAAGTGAGCGCAATGGTCGATGCTATGCCGATCCAAAGCCAGGAGCCTCTTCCGGGTCTCCCACGCGGGTGCAGGGTCCCAAAGCTTTGGGCCGTCCTCCACTGCTTTCCCGGGCCACAGGCAGGGAGCTGGAAGGGAAGTGGAGCTGCCGGGATTAGAACCGGTGCCCATATGGGATCCCGGGCGTGCAAGGCGAGGACTTAACCACTTGCGCCACCGCGCCGGGCCCTCCCCTAAAATTCTTAATGTTTGTTTTGTACTCATATATTTAGGTGCTCTGATGTTGGGTTCAAATATGAAGACTATGCATGCATTTTTTATACTGTGTGTTTTTTGTGATCATTTTGAAGCTCTTGTATGCATGGATTTCAAAATTGTACTAAAGTAAACATCCTTTTTTAAAGATTTGTTTATCCTTTTCTTAATTTTGACTTTTATGGTATAATTTCATAGGGTCTAGGATTTCGGCCCCCCCAGGTTCCCACGCCCAACTGATTTTCCCCATATTATTACAATAGTATAGTCTTTCATAAGCAGTCATAATTCCATCAGTCTGTTATTTAAGAATGTCCCGACATTGCTGGTACAGACAATGTCACACAGTCCAGCATCCCATTGTCTAGATATGTCCAACAGTTTCATTGGGAGTCCATCTTTGATTTGGAAGTAGGGATGAATACTGCGTTATATCTTCACATCTGGATATGATAGTCTATTATGCCATCGCTATATACTCCCTTAAATGAGAAGCCATGAAAAAAAGTCAACAAGAGATATGAAGTTAAAACAAAAAATTTATAGCACCATGGAGTCAAAAAATGCACCACTGAATAATCAACACATGGGTGAAAAAAAAAGAAAACACAAAAGCCTCTTGGATAAAATGATGCCACCGTGCCATCCATGAGCCAGCAATGAATTCAACAAGAGAAAAGAAACTATGTGGAAGAAATGGAAATGAAAACAAAAATATCAAAACCCATGGAATGCAGCAAAAACAGTGCTGATCTTACAATTTGCATGAAAGCTGCCTTATATCGGAAAGAATATACGATATTTTTAATTTCAAAAAAGGACAAGCAAATCACTTGGAAGTGTTTGGTTGATTAACTCAAGTGATTTTCTTAATATGCTGCTAACTTCCTTGAGAAGGTCACCAAATAGCTTGTCATTCAATAACAGAATGGCACACTGAGTGTTTTCTTTCCATCCTGATTACATGTGATGATTTTCAGATGTTGTCTGTCTAAATGACTGACCCTTATGACTTGGTTTGAACTCAGTTCTCAGAAACTGAGACAGAGTGATGGGGAAAGACAAAAGTTAATAGAACAAGTCTTTAAGTTGTCTGAATCATCCAGCAGGTAATACAACCAATTAATATTAGAACCAGTCAATATTTTATAAAGATTTGGGTTATGAAAGAGCACTTTCTTTAAATCCTGAGTGGCAAAAATATGCAAAATGTTGTGATTTATACCAGTGGTTTGACTGCTTTATTTTTTAAGGGGAAATAAATACTGTTTACTTTTCCTCAATTGAAGTTTTCCCATGAAATCATATTTTTACTTTAATAAATAATGTATAGTGAACTCTATTTTTCCTTTATTTAGAATGTCATTTGGCTCAGAGTGATCAGTATGAAAACAGAGTTTGTATATTATTTATCCTGAACGAGCACAAAAGACTGGGCTGAATATCTAATGATACTGAGACTTAACCAGATTTTGAAAAATTTTTACTAAAATTCAGATTCTCTTACTTTTGTTTGATAAAGGTCATTTTTTGAGATCAGTACACTATCACTTCTTGGTCTTTTGGATAAGATCAAATGATATTACCAGTGCAAGGTGAGATGAGCCGTACCAGATGTGGTTGTGGCACCCAAACAGCACACAGGAAACCCCTGGGGGGAGGGGGAGGGTAGGCAAAGCCAACAGAGGAATGTGGGTTCCCCTGCTGGACAACCACTCCATTGGAGAGCATGAGTTGGGATGAGGGCAGGGCAGACCAGACCAGGCAGGGCTACAACACCTGTGGGCCTCATGTGAGCTAGATTGGGGAAGGGCCAGATTGGGCTGACTGTCCCAACTGGTGCAAGCAAAAATTAGAGTGGGTGAGGGTTGATTGGACCTTGCCACATCATCAGATGGCAGAGGCTGGCACTGAGGCCAATTCTGTTAAGTTAAATGCCAGAACCACCTGGAGAGTGCATAATCCAGAAGTTGGAGTGGCCTAGTAGGGAGATAGTGGGCACTTCCCTGGTGGGTAACTACTCCCACTGGAAAGCATGAAAACCAGGACAGGGGCAGGGGTGGATAGACAGAAAGGCACCTGTGAGTATGTGTGTGGGCTGGATAGTAGGTTGGTTGGGTTGAAGTAGGCTTCAATGCCCATTGACAAGTACCAGTGTGTGGGACACACTGAACATGCCTGTGGTACATACTGGCATGCATGGAACCAGGATAGGGAGCAGGCCTGGTGGGGGTTATGCTGCAGCTCCCACTGGTTTGCAAGAGAACCGAGAATGAAGTGGGTAGGATTGAGCTGGACTATAACACCCATTGGATCAAATTGATGACAGGGCTGGAAACAGAACTGACCCAGCAATTGTAACGACCAGCTTGTGCATAAGCTGATTGGTGTGACGGACTGTGCCAGACCCTGTACTGGCAAATTCACTCAAGAATCAGGTTTGGGATCATCTCAGATGAAGTTTCTTTGGAGATCCTTCCAACTGAACGGCTGATCTCAGAACCCCAACCATGAAGAGACCATGTCAGCCAATGGATTCTGAATAGGTTTCATCCGATTGGAACGGCGAGATTGGCAGCAATTCAGACCTGTTGAACTATCAAAACTGCTTGAGCAGGACCCTCAGAGGTGCCTCACATTGGGGACCTGGAATCGGAGGGAGGCTGGGTGGGACTTTTCTCTATGTTTCTCCCCTAACCCCAGATACAGGGGGAAAAATGATACTAGTGTGGAAACAATGGCATTACCCACTTTCCTGTAGCCCTTGACCCTTTGTAATTTAAAAAAGATCAAGTGAGATTAGTGCACTCTCTGATTCATCTATTTAGTGAATGGAGAACCTGAAAGGCAGAATGTCTACTTGAAGATGCTAGGCCAAGCTTTTACTTAGGTAAATAAGTGGTCTGAATTAGGCTGTCTTTGTGTTTTTCTTTTCTTCTCTTTTGTTTGTTTGTTTGTTTGTTTCTTTCTTTCTTTTTTTTTTGTTAACCAGAGCACAACCTTTCCTAGCCTGCCTTTTAGGTAGTTAGGGGATATATAGATGAAATGAGGTAATAAACCTGATTTATTGAGTGGAGATTGAACTACTTTAAATGTAATCTTTGTAGATTAGTTATTGAAAGATACAAAAAAAATGAGCTGTAACTAGGATGAACACTGAAAAGTCACTACAAAGTTTAAGACTGCCATTAAGAAATCTATAGAGAGCTGAATAGACTTAAAGTAATCTATTTCATTATTTCTTTTTGCTTGTCTAACAAATATAT